ACGTAACGCCGATGCCCTGAAAAGAAAAAAAAGACGCATTTCAGCCGAGTATCCAGTATCTTACGTACCTATATTATACTAGCCGTTCTGGGCGCGCTTCGCGCGCCCGTCACGCCTAGCCCNGGGGGGTTGACAAGTATTATAGCCACAACATGTGGCATTTATGTACATGAATTATAAATAAATAAATAAAATAAATCTTTCAGGTCTTTCTGATCAAACCTCGTAAGGTATCCATCCTCGCAGAAACCCTGAAAATAAAAATAAAAATCTTAAAAGCCCTATGATGCCGTGCCAAAGAAGAACGCCGTATGAGCCTTTAGACGTTGCCAGATTCACTTCAATAAAAACCGAATTTTCTTGGAACATTGCGAACACTTTCCTTCAAAATTTTCGGATAATTGTGTTCACAATTTGATCTAAAACATCTGAAAATTTCAAGAAGAAATGTTAATAACTTTCCTCAAAAATACACGTTTTATCTGGAGAAATTTGGCAACTCTCGATTGTTCATAAGGCGTTCTTCCCTAGCACGGCAGTATGGATCATGCGTTTACTTTTCGTGAGTTTCGAAGCGGCCAAGCTTCAGTTTTTGCAACAGAAGTGTGAATTGTAATTAGTTATGTCATGATAATACTCTTTGGTAAAAAGCTGTATCTACAACTCGGCCTTCGGGACGCCCCAATTACTCTATCCATAATAGGTTTTCACCAAATTTACACGCGTGTGCCATCACATTTCCCAGTTTATCAGCTTTTATAAACATGTAAACTGAACCATAAACGCGTTCAAATTTTAAGATAAAGTTGAGGTTAAGTTCCTATCGTCTTGTTGCCATTCGTCGTATGGGAATCCCCCCACATCAAGCACAAAAATGTGCGGCGCATTATCGGAAGTATCGCCAAAAATAGTTTTAGTCGGGGAGTGTGACCTCCCCTCGCAATCTAATTTTTTTGAGATTGTTAGAAAGCCTCTCTTTAATGACTCCTCTGTAGGTATCTTAGAAAGAGTCACAATGACCAACTTAAACATTTTCGCGGTTCCGCAAGATCGCGAAGCAAGGAGGTTGTCTTCACATTTAGCTTTCCGAGTATTTGGACTCAAAAATTTGCTCGATTCAAAAATTACCTCTCCGAAAAATAGCTGGAGTCAGGGTTGCGACAGTCGGGGAAGACCGGGAAATGTCGGGGAAAATGACGAAAATGTCAGGAAAAATTTGTTAATTCGGCTTCATTTGCTTTCTAGACTGGGTTTGAGATTTCAAACAACAAATTTTGCCTGAAAACTATTTTCAATTATGCCTTCTCAACCATCCGTCACATCTTCAATTGTCAGGGAATTTCACCAAAATGTTACAGGCAAATCAGGGAAATGTCAGGGAATTTACTTTTCTAAATTCTGTGGCAATTCTGTGGAGTCTTTCAGAGCCCTAACCCCGTGGTTCACCCACCTCGTCCTATGATAATGACGGTTTCATAAAAACCAAACATGACGAAAAAAATTATTTATTGTTTTGACTTCACCGGTTTATCTCAAATTTAATCCTGACAGCCACTTAATCAAGCAATCGATTTAAGCACCAGCATTAGCACCAACATCATAGTGCGTATGTCTTCCCTGTAAATGACTCACAGTCTCATGCACACGTCTTAATCATCCGATTCCGATAAGAGACTCTTACCATGCTTTCGCGTGAACTCATTCGTTCGAAATAGTAAGTCGGGCCCGAAAAGTTTACGACGTTTATACTGAAGAGGGTCAATATCTCTTCGACACGGAGCGTTTAATCCTACGCATCAAACACTTGGCTCCTCTTACTGTTGTTGTTTATTGTACTCGGGCCAAAGTTCGTCGCTCCTCTAACGTAAGAGCGTATCTGTATTTCCTTATGAGCCTCCGAAAGCATTGCGTTAAACGGCGAACAGGGCTCATGTGGAAATCGAGGTACGTCCTTTCATCATAGGGGCGACGTGTTATGCGTTCATCAGCGACGAAAGCTGCGGCTGATGTGACGTCACGGCAGAATACTTGTTGCGTCATATCATATGACGCTCATATAACGTCATTGGTTGTGACGCTTACTACCTAACAAGACCTAGCCACTAGCCTTGAAGAGATTCTGGTGCACGAGGTAATGGCTCGTCGATTTTAGTCACCTGTCAAACTCGCAAAGGTAATGATGAGCTTCCTGAAGTTAAAGGATGACAAATGATTTGATCGCTGATCAAGCTTTAAACATTAACGAAGTTTGTTTTAATCAATAAAAGTTAAGGCGGAAGATAATCTGTGCATTCAATCGTTGCCTGATTTTGAAAACCTTTTTAATTTTCCAAACTGAACACCTTTTCGGGGGTGTAGTGTTTATAGATTAGACAGCTTTTTTGAAAACGTTAAATAGCAAATTAAGACTCCTGCAATTATTGAATTGCAACAAATATCGAATATATTCTTGTAGTTTGACTGTAATCATGTTTTGTATGGCAGTTTTTATTGATTTGTCTCGTGATAACAAACGTGTCGTCTTATCCTCTCGGAATCTTCGCAAGACACTGGAAAAAAACCACATTGGATCTAGAGTCCAGACTCTTGAAAACATTGACAAGAAAAAATACTCTTGATTCAATCAGATTTTTGCTTAAATCAAAAGGAATTCCGTTCAAATTAAGTGGCTTGGTTCTTGATTTAAGCAAATTTCCGATTGAATTAAGAGTATTTTTTCTTGTCGATGTTTTTAAGAGTCTGGACTCCAAGTGGATTCTTCGCTTCATCTTTGGTGCCATTAAAAAGAAAAATCAAAGGCGAATCAAATTTAAGAAGCGAAACTCTTGCCTCTAAAAAATCTGCTTTTATGAATCGCAAGTCAATCAAAGCTTTCACGAACTTGCGAGGGACCTCTCTGAAGTTGTAAAATTCATAATAAAATGCATTGGATTTATTTAGCTAGTCGAGACAGACGAATCGTTGATTGGTGAGGAACGGAAACTCCTGAAGGAGATGAGATGGGAGTGAGAGCTCATCCATGATAGCAAGAGTGTAATGGAAGGGAAGAGGAATCAGGAGAGAAAATTGCAAGCTGTAGAGTGGTGGCGGTGGTGGTTTTTGTGGGTTCACAGAATCCTCTTTCTCTTGATTTAATAGTTCTAAGCGTGCAGTCATTCAAGCCATTTAACGTCATTCATGTCCCACAGACCGCCAGTCTAGAAGAGTTCATTCATCGCATCGCGGAGTTGCCAGTTGACCTGATATTCATTCCTTCTTGTCAACATTACTTACGAGTCCGGTGACTGTTTCACCCGCATCGACGTTATTGACGTTCCTGCGTTTAAACCGAGGTTCAAATCTTGATTACCGTCGCTGTGTTTCGCCTTCAAAAATGCACGAAGCAACTTTTGAAACACGCATCCGTTATCTCCGTTTTTCCGTCCACTTTTACTACCCGACCTTCATGGGCGCCGGTGCCCAGCCCGTAGGGTTAAGAGCTAAAGGAGCTGAAATTTAAAATTCTTTCATCTTTCTCTTCATCTTCTCAACATACATTCTCTCAATTTTGAAATATAGCTATTCTAGTCAGAAAAACAGAAAAAAATGATTCTTTGGACCCATCTTTAACGAGTTATGTCACATGGAGTTCCTGAATTTCTTTCGATAAGATCCTTGAGTGGTTCTCTTCTTTCAGTTTTTATTCATCCCAGTTTGAAAATTGTTAAAGTTTTAGTGAGTTAAATTCTTCCTGGACCCTCAAAATTAAATTATTGCCAATTTTCTTAATTTATTCAGGTACTACGAATAAAATACCGGTGTTGGTGCAGTGACATTATCTAAATTTCGTTAAAAAGTGGACTCGTGCCGTTTTCCACCAATTTTTCATTGAATTTCATTCGCAATTCAAGCTGAAGTGTCAGAAAATTCTGATACCTCGGCTTTATCGCGGGGAACTGGAAATCCGCGCGCATCCGATATAGCGCCTTCAACATCGTGTAAATACTTCAAACGCTACACCGTTAAACGCACGCGTTGATGTGCAAATTGCCTACACTGCGCCTGCCGGAGTGCTACAGTGTACACCGTCCACTTGCGATCCACGGATCGGGCAATCAAGCACATTCTGTATCCCTGAAGAATCAATGTCATAACCTTTTCAGAGTTTTCAGCAAAAAGGGTGCTTTTCTACTTATTTCAATTCACTGACGACGCCACGAATTCAAATGATCGCGGGAAATTAGTAATCCGCGCGTACCTGATACAGCGCCTTCAACATCGTAGAAATACTTCAAACGCTACACCGATAAACGCACGCGTTGATGTGCAAATTGCCTACACTGAGCCTGCCGAATTGCCACAGTGTACACCGAAGACATTGAATAGAGGTGTACATCGTCCACTTGCGATCCACGGATCGGGCAATCAAGCACATTCTGTATCCCGGAAGAATCAATGTCATAACCTTCTCAGAGTTTTCAGCAAACAGGGTGTTTTTCTACTTATTTCAATTCACTGACGACGCACAGTGGATCGAGTCAATCAGAGAGGTCGGTCATGAAATTTTTGACTAAAAATGCAAACTTTCTTGTTTATTTCCTCACATTTCAAATTTAAAGGGTTGCTTTTGAAAGAAAATTTCACGAGGAAACCAGTGGAACCACTTTTAGAACCTCAAAGTTGTGTATAAACCGAGTTATAAGCTTTTAAAGTTTCCAAATTTCGTCCGACCTCTCCGATTGACTCGATTCACAGTGCGACGCCGCGAATTCAAATGATCGCGGGAAATTAGTAATCCGCGCATACCTGATACTGCGCCTTATCGTAGAAATACTTCAAACGCTACACCTTTGTACATACGGTTTTTATCGGAAATTGGACGACATTCCAATGTTTGCACGGCGTTTTCCGCAGTTTGAATCTTTGTGTTTCATGTTATGAACTTGTTATTGTTATGTTGAGATATTTTGAAAGTATTTTTGACTTTATGTTCTAATGTGTGTGTGTTTGTGTGTGTTTAGGGTTACACGGGCGGAGCGGGAGCGGAAGCGGGAGTGGGAGCGGGAGCAGTGAGGACCCGCGGATGACGGCTGAGGCCGAGCCGGGGGCACCACCGAAGGAGCGCGAGCGCGATGGTGACGGGAGCATCAAGTGCTCCCAAGCCGCCGCCGCCGCCCCCACAGCCGCGCCCCGGGCCCGCGGGTTCCCGCCCGGCATCGGCCAAAGCGACCGCGCCGACCACAAGGACTCGAGGGACCGCGACCGCGAGCTCTACGACCCGGAGTACGCCAGCATGGAGGCCTGGCTCGACGAGCATCCAGAGTTCGTCCAAGATTATTTCCTCAGGTAAGCACCCCGTTTCCATTTCACACGTCTACCTGTGGGCTGATTATTGAAAGTGATAGACACAGCGGTAGACAAAGAAGACGTAGAGAGTATGGAGCGATCCTATTGGTTGGAACGAGTGGTCGTTATTGACTAAGGGGGAAAATGATGGACTGAGCTCCCGAGCATCCCGAGTACGTCCAAGATTATTTCCTCAGGTGAGCACCCCGTTTTTTTCAATCCACCCTTCCACCACGAAGTCTACCATCAGTTGAACCCGGAGAACCCGGAAAAAAACGAGACCGTTTCTGCAATGTAAGAGTTCGCCTGGTGATGAAGGTTGAAAATAATATCGTGCACGACGTCATATCCAGGCAATCGGTGTGGTATGGACATGTGCAAAGAATGTCGGTGGAGAGGTTGCCTAAACAAGTTTTGGATTGGGCATCACGTGGGAAAAGGCGACGATGACGTCTCATGAAGGGATGGCGGCAGGGCGTCGACGAAGAGATGTTGCGTTGTCAGTTGTCCAAGAACCTTCGGGAAGATAGGCACATGGGGAAAAGAAGAAGAAAAACAACTCCAGCCGAAGCCGTTCTTTTGGGCTATATGGACGCACCGTTCTCTTTCCGGGCTCAGAGGTCGGAAGTTCCGGGCGTAGCAGTCGGAGCGGTCGAAGCTACGGCTCCAGCACCCGGAAAGTTCGGCCTCTGAGCCTGGAACAGATGGCATGTCTGTATAGCCCGTAACTTTTTTTTCAGTGTAGGAAAGATGTCATCGGGAAAATTTTTGAAAAGTCAGGCAGTTAAGCTTTCCGAAGTTCAGTTTCCTCGTCCCGCCAATTTTTCTCAAAAAAGGAAGGAGGGGTATCAATAAGGGCTGTTGTGGGGTTTTCCTAACTAAATTTCTTCAATTCTACAATTTTTTGCTCATACAAGGTCTACATTTCACGGAATGCATCATGATTATTTGGTCATTCTCTGTCTCTTTTCGTGTCTAATATTGGCCTAAACATAGGTCTGAACTCTGAGGGCAGATTATGGCAAAATATCCGCATTTTTGGGCATTCGATTACAAAACCCGCAATAACCGCCAAAATCGGCCTTCGAATCCACGCCCAGGCCAGTATTATATCGTTAAGGAGATCGTAATTGACCAGTTCATAACTCATTCCATAAAATGTAGACCTTCCATGAGCAATGGACGGGGCAAGCACAGAAGGGTTCGAATTTGATGAAACTTTGACAGTTTGTTTATCGGTTAAAGTTCGCCCAAATGATAAACGATGAAACGTGTATTCATATTGATTGTCGCGATTAACAAAGTTGCCTCTGTCCTATTCCATCGCATCGCAGTTCGTATGTGTAGAGAGCTGCGAAATTAAAACGTTCACTGAAACCATTCATTCGTTGGCCCCACGACGCAGACTCTCCATTTCGGGCATGCAGAACGACTCACGTGCAAAAACGTTAACTGGCCGAACGTGCCCGGAAGTGGAGACCTTCACCTGTCGCGGGACGGGCCGATGAGAGGGGGGGGGGGAGGGGACGGGCCGAAACGCCACAGTGATGGGATATCAAATTTTTGCGCACCCCCGGCCCAGCCCGGCCCGGCTCCCTCCAGCCGCATAGCGCGTTATACCAGGTTAATTAGGTGCACGTGAACTCACCCGGCCACCCCTCCCCTCCCCCCTTCCAACGTGTCGTCACCGACTCCCACACCGAAGTCCCGGATCTGGCCAAATACGCTCGTAGAATAATTGAGAGGTGCTTTTAGCTCACACTTTGAGGGTTTTAATTTCCCGCGTCGCATCGCTCAGCGCATTACGTAACAACAGCACCGCAGCTGAAACCCAGAATCGGCTTGTTAGCGCAGTTTAGTCGCTGGATAGGGGGTCAGGGAACATGAAATATGAATCATTCATGGTCATCTAAAAGCAAATTTTCTGCAGAAACAGAACGCGGGAGGTGCAAAACGTTGATCGTCGCTGAAGATACGGTGTTTCTGCTCCGCACGGTGTATTGGCGATTCGCCTCATTTTTGACATTAATAATGCGTCGTTTTTTATGTTTTTACAAAAGCGCTGGAAAAATCGCGTATTTCCCACAATATTGTATGGGAAACGCGTCATTTCTTTTGTTTTTACCATAGGGATGGAAAAATCGCGTATTTATAACGAAAAAAACTCCCCAATTTTTCAACAATATCCCATCTTTAATAGGGCGGAATGGACAGATCGTTAGAAACTCTGCTTCTCGTTATTTTTTCCACCAAGTCAGTGGCGGTTCTTAAAAGTTGGCAATGCTGTTTATCCTCCATCTAAATAACCTAGAACAATAGATTCTTGCTAAGGCAGCTTGCCTCACCTTAAATCGATATTTTTAATGGATTTAAATTGAAGGAAAATTGTGTTGCCAACTTGCAAAATCGCATCCGCACTGAGTCAATTTTTGTCGATTAATAACGACTTGGCAAGGTTCTTCTTCTGTTCAAACAGGAAGAATTCAGTTCTGCGAAAAAAAAGAGGAAACACAGCAGGTAATGAAATCCCGCAGGAAAAAGTAGGGAATTCAGTCAAAGGAGGGGGAAAATGTTTCTCCTCCTCCGCGCGATGTGTGAGTCAATTGGATTCGTGTATTTTTAAATTTCTACCAGGAAGGTGATTCTCTGGCCAATCCGATTACGACGTGGTGATATTGCAGTGCTGCATCATTGGAATTTCTTCTGAGTAATGTGTGGTTTTTTATTGCGATGCACCATTTTCTACTTTGTTCTCGCGTGTTTCTTTTTTACCGGAAGGTCGAGGAAAAAATCTGGGAAAATGCGGAGCAAACACACAGGTTCGAGAGGGGTAAAAAAAAACCAGACATGACGTCGAGAGGAAATCGATAAAAGTGACGTCATACGTCACCGTTAAACTGTACGTACAACAGCTCAAGAACGTCTTCATCACAAGGCTGAGCTCGAGGAGCCTTCTGGAAAACTGCCGTGCTAAGGCAAAACGCCGTATGAGCATTCGAATGTTGCCAAATTTCCTCTCAGACCTAAAATTATCCATTTTTGAAGGAAGTTATGAATATTAGCATAAATATTCATAACTTTCTTCAAAAATGGATATTTTTAGAAATGAAATTGTCAGAATTTGTAGATCAAATTTCGAAGAAAATCCTCCAAAAAATCGGAGGAGAACTGGACGCGCGTTAAGCAGAAAAGAATCAAGCCACATCCGCTATTGCCAAATTAGACTATTTTTACATTGAAACGGTTGTGCGGATTTTTGTTCAAATTTCAGAGAATTTTCCGCTCAGTACGAAGCGAATTCCCTAAAATTTTTGAAGGAATCAGCACAAACGTTCCCTTATAAGAAATTGAATTTCCCTGTTATGGCAATAGCTGATGTGGCTTGGTTCCTCTCTGCTGAACGCGATCAAACTATTCAAAAATTTTCCTGAAAATTCCTTGTTTTTCGAAGGAAATTTGGCAAAGCCTGATGTCTCGTACGACGTTTTTCCTCAGCGCGGCAGAAAAGGTCGGTGGAAATTAATAAGGTGGGAAGGCATGCGTTGGTGAGGCACTCGAGACAAGTGTCGATGGTATATCGGAAAGGGAGGGGGTTTAGGGGGACGATTAATGTGGAGAAGAAGTCAAATTGATGTGTGTTTAAAACGTACGAAGATTGATGGGCCCCGAGAATGTAGCGTCCACGATTTCCCTCCCCGGATCCCTGTTGGTGTTGGGGCGATCCCTTTTTCAGATGGGTTTCCATGGTCGCTGCTAATCTGCACTTTAGGATAATGAACCGGGGGCTCCGCGCCCGTCCTGGGCCTCGGGCCGTAAAAGTAAATATTTTGCCTATTTTTAGCCCGTGCCCGTAATTGAATGAATTAAACTCTTAACGGCAGACGCCCTGTTGTCAAAACTTCGTCCGATTCCACGCATGAGGTAGAGTCCCTTTATTATACTTAGAGTAAAGACAATGCGAATCCATTTCTGATCGGTTCCCGTATTTTACGTAGGCCGTTTCTCACAGGCCTTCACAGTGTCACACGCGGGAATAAAGATTGCAGTTTCACCAATTGCAAATATTCTAACCTGGAATGGACCGGGGAATGGAGTTGTTGCATGTGTGAGGCATTTGCGATTTGACTGTAGATTCTTTTGTAAAAGTTCGCGAGAAACACGATGGTGCCACTGGTTTTCTCTTCAATCAACCCCCAAGCTCAAAAAAAGCTCTCAAGTTGAGGCCAAAATGGAGGGGATATCCCAAGCTATCCTGAGAGTCCACCTCTACATCAAGACAAACTCTCCATGCAAAGATAGGGAGCAAATACATTGACAGGGCTGCCACCTTATTTGGGGACTCTAAAACTGAAAACACGGCAACCCTGCTAATGTATTTGCTCTTTATCTTCGCATGGAGAGAGTTTGTCTTGACGTAGACGTGGACTCTTAGGATAGCATGGGATATTCCCTTCATTTTGGCCTCAACTTCAGAGCTTTTTTTGAGCTTGGGAGTTGATTTCAGAGAAAACCAGTGGCACCATCGTTATTCTCGCGAAACTTTCACATAAAATTCTACAGTCAAATCGCAAATTCCGCACACATACAACATCTCCATTGGGGTCGCGGCAATAGTGACAAATGAAATAAAAGTGGGAACGGAGACAGGCATTCCGGAATGGGTTGATCAAAAATTACAGCAAACGTTCAATTTGTGTGATCTTTACTCCTGTTTCTGACATGCACAAGCCGCGTTGTCTCTACTCTCTCTATGAAGGGACTCTCCTCCTACCTAGTTTCGCCGCCATTTTTTTTTCAATTAGACGTATTTCTATCAAACAGAACTATGTGCATTATAACGTGAGCCCTGAGACTCATGAGAGTATGTGCATAACAGGGCTCACGTCATACTGCACATAGTTCCGTTTGATAGAAATACGTCCAATTCAAAGTGTCTCGATGGGACCCAATAAAGGTTATAGGACCCCATACTTCCCTATAAAGGTTCTTGAGAACACCCCCATTTTGATTATTTTTCTTTACTTTTGTGCAGGAAGGCTTCTCGTAACGTAGTGGACACGTGGGTGGTGTCGCACGCGACGTCGACGACGAGCCATGGGCACGGTGGCCCGCAGGGACAGGGACAGGGGCAGCCGGGGGCCGAGCTGGGCTCGAGCGGTGCGACGACCCCCGTGCGGAAGATCTCGGCCCACGAGTTCGGCGGCCTGGACACCCCGATCGTGAACAAGATCGCCGGGACCCCGACCTTCCTCTCCGTCACCACCTCCGTCGACGGCGGCGCCTCCGGACAGTCCTCCAGCATCTTCGGCACCTCCTCCCAGGCCCGCACCCAGAGGCTCTCCAGGCACGAGCTCAAACACCTCGACGAGAAAGAACTCATCTTCGAGCTCGTAAGTTCCATTCCTTCCGTATCAAATCAATCAAATGGACCACTAGATAAGGTACGAATTTAAGCAATCTGATACATGTTTCTTAGCCAGAATTTCACGTGGAACACGATTCGCTCGACGAAAATTACTGAAATCAACTTGTAACAAAGATATTGGCGTTTTTATTTCACATTGGTTACGAGGAATTTGAACTGCCCGCTCACAAGAAACTCAAAGCTCTACGTGAGTCAAATTACACACTACAACGGTTTCAGCAAGCTTCTCAACCGAGCAATGTTCATTTCCCGCCGTGTATTTTTCAAACTATAAGCAATTTGCTATAGCTGAGCCAAGGCGTCAAGATCGAGGTTGCCAGATTTTTATATCACAGAGACTGTCATGATAATGTTTAGCGCGCGATGTGAATCACGTAGAGCATTGAGTTTTCATGAGCGGGTGGTTTCAATTCACGCATCAAGAATCATTGAATATCTTCGGAAGGAGTTAATTTCGGTAATTTTTGTTGTGCGTATCATGTTCTACGTGAAATTTTAGTTACGAAACATGTATCAGAATGCTGAAATTCGTTCCTTGTCTAGTGGTCCATTGTCGTCCCCCGCACGAAGGAACGTAACTCCATCACAAGGTTGTAAAATTAACTCAAATAATTCATTTTTTTATAAGATTGTAGCTTTCCAATTGTCGTTAAAAATGCTCCTGGTTATAACAGGAGATTAGAAGAAAACTCAGAGAAATTTTCAGCAAGAAATGCCCGAGACTCTCTTAGTACAAATGCAATTTGCGAGGAGAAATTTGGCAACATTCAAGTGTAGTTACGTTCTTTCGCGGGGGAACGACGAAATATGGTCGAATCCACCGTAGAATACTCTGACGTGCTAAGGAAGAACGCCGTATGAGCCTTCAGACTTTGCCAAGTTTCCACCGATAAAAACCGAATTTACCAGAAAAATTGCGAATATTATTTTCCAAAATTTTGAGACGATTTTGTACGCAATTTAATCTAAAATATCTGAAAATTTCAAGGAAAAATATGCATGAATGTTCTCATAAATACATATTTCATCAAGGGAAATTTGGCAACTCTCGAATATTCATACGGCGTTCTTCTTTTGTAAAAAGCTATACGTTTTGTGTGTGCTCTGAGTGATTGAGGTGCGTTTTCACAATGATACCACTATACGACCAGATGAGAGCCTGTGTTGCCTACACGGAAAATTGTAGGCGATCTGGCGATGTGTTAGAATCACCTTTCCACATTTTCGTAAAAGGGTATATTTTGTGTGCTGTGAATGAGCGTAACGTTTACACCAAGAGGGTGTTAGATAATCAATGAAATCGCTTAACGTACTCTGTGGAAAGTCCCCAAGACATTTTTATCAAAGAGGAAAAAAATATTCGAGGAATCAATTTTAAGAGGCTTAGGATTGCGTATAGTGTTAGAATGACGTCAAATAAATGTTTCAGACAAAATTTTGAAGTACGTGGCAAATTTTGTGTGGGAGATACGCCCCGGTGTTATGCATTGCTGAAGCAAGTTCTTCTCTCGCGCATGGTATTATTTTGCACCGCAAGTTAAGAAGCTGAAAGCTCATGCCATCGAGGAACTTCCAAACTATGCCGCCCGGCATGTTTTTGTATCTATAAAATTCCTCAAAGTTCACGCAGAGTTTTCAAAGAGGACACCTCCTCCCCCTTTCGACACAATTTCAGTGATCTCAGCCACTCGGAGTGCGGTGCCGTTTCCCTATATCTTCCAACAAACGATTTTACGATAGTGTTCATTTATTGTTACGTTACATCAGCCGCGAAGTACAAATTGCTCGAATTAGTTTTAATTTTGCGCCATCAGAACTTCTCGAAACATTCAATCGGGTAATTTCCCGGCCCGTGAGAATAAATGAGCCCAAAAGTGTCTCGGAGGGGGAGTAATTAAAGTTGCGGCTTTAAACTTGTTCCGCCCGGGAAAATTAAGGGAAAGATTGACGAGGCTTCAGGATTAAGTTAGTGAAATCGCGTTGGTAAGTCACTCTACGCCTCATCGAACGACGTTGCCATGAGCCTCCTTAAAACTTCGCCGCGTAGTCAGTTTTAAGCATTTTCGAAAGACAAAAGTTCAGTTTGATTTACGTAATTAACACTTACATATCTCGGTGTACCCTAAATGAGTTTCCAGAAAGAACCTAACAATTAAAGTATGATTGATCGATGCATTTGAAAGTTATTTTAAACAGTGTTACCCACACCATCAAACAATAATTACCGTAGTTTAAACTCTCTAATAACGAAAGAGAAGATCAAATGATCTTAATTTCGCAATAAGGAACTACCATTTCTGGCTCATCCGTAAAGTCACCTGTTTGCCTAGGAAAACCAAAGGCACATACGTTGTCTCTTAAGTGGACCAGAAAGGATAGCTCCTATTAGCAAAATGTAGTCCAAATCGTCTGCTAAGGGCTGAGAAAGAGAGAGAGAGGAAAAAGAAGGTAAGGAAAAAAAAAGAAAATTAAATCAAAATATTAAAGTAATCCGATTCGACTGATATTCTGTCTCCAAAATAAATTGCAAAGAATAGGATAATTATAAGATTCAACTATCAAAACACGACTCCGTGAAAAAAAACATTATATCCGGGTCATTTGTCCATATCGTCACCTTCCGGCCAAAATATCACAAGCACAATGCGAAGTTTAAACATTTCCGCTGCCATTCTATTTTTTTTTACAGAGAAATTGTTCAACGAAGCTGTCCGAAAATTTCACAGAATTTTCTTTGTGCTCCCTATGAAATTCGGTGAAATTTTCAAATAGATTCATCCAACAATTGCTTTGTAAAAAAATAAAATGGCGGCGGAAATGTTTAAACGTCGCTTGGCGCTTGTGATACTTTGGCCGGAAGGTAATGATATTTTGAATTTTTAGTCGGCTGTCCGTAGGTAGCGCACAGCTGTATGCATGTGCCTGTTTTTAAAGGTGAATGTTACTGAGCCTTAATGGGAATTTTTCTCAGTTTTGTAGTATTGTGGCAACTCAGCAAGTTGATGAGGCTTTCGCGGATCCGCGTGTTTCACGATCCACCGTCCATAAATTCTTTATTGCTCAGAAATTAAGTCGAGGAGCTTTGCGAATAATAATCGTTCCCAAATGAGCGCGGTTAAATTGAGTGACTTAATTTAGTGGCTCCTCGTGTCGGGATAACATGAGACCCCCGACCCATTGTTTTCCCGTCTCCCTAGTCCTCTCCCTTTTTTACAGAGCTACCTATGCGCCAGTAGAGCTTTCCCATAACAAAAGGATTGGGAATTAAAATTAGACGGATATTGGTAAGGAGTGGCTATGAATATTTAAGTGGATTTGACAGTCTCGTTGAGCCTATACTTCCTTCCATGTTGCATCGTATCCAGTGCAGAAGTTTATTCATCGGATTCAGTCCTGATCACCCTTTTTTAATTTTTTTTCTTTTTTTTTTTTTTCTTTTTTTTACTTTCCAATTTGGAATGATGAGCGGTTCATCATTCAGTGTTCGAAACTCATTTTTGAATTTCAAAAGCCATGTGGCCCATCTAGCTCGATTTTTAGGGGCTATCGGAGATTTTTTAGGGGGCAAATTGACTTTTTGCCTATATATTACGACACATTAAGTGAAAAGTTAGACACAAGATGTCTTAGTTACAGAACTAGTAGCTGTAACTTGTAATTTTCGAAAAATCATCAAATGGAAAAATTAGGATTTTCTTTCTTTTTTTTTGGGGGGGGGGGGGGGGTTAGGAGCCACATTGGCGCAGAGCCTTCATTTTTTAGGCTCCGTGACTGATTTTTTAGGCGCATTTGGCGTGTTGCCGCTCGTGAGTTTCGAACACTAGATGAACCCTTCTTTCCTCGATTTAAGAGGAAGTGCCTCCAAGAAACCACGGCGCCCTGTGTCCTCCTTCAACTCAGTTTAAATTGGAGATGTGGTGAGTGTCCCCCGATGTTCCAAATTCAAAATCAACCAAATGATCAGCACGATCAGTGGAACTGCCGGAACTCTAAACAGTAGTGAACGATATCGATCAATTAGCACACTTTGGTGCGCCTTCATTTTCGTCTGATACTGTGCAATACTCCCGTGGTGGAATAGTTGCTCAGAGCGCCTACTACAGTGTCGCTCCGACTTGATGGCAGAATATCGCGATTACATTGCATTCAAGCGCATCCGCAATCACCCATTTTCTCATCACCGATGGTGGAATAAAAACATTCATTCCTCAATTTACGACGTTGCAAGTTTTCAATCGCCCATTTTTTCTGGGTGACCGTAAATGATTACCTTAAATCTGCTGTGATTTTTCCGCGAAACGACGAAAAATAACACGTTCATTTTTCATACATGTCTATTTGTATGCTTTCTTGAAAAGGGAAAAGAAAGTTTGAAAAGTTAAACGAGCCCGAAGAGTTGATAAAGCGCCGAAACGCACTAACTCAAATTAGTGGTATTGTCAGCCCCTATTTCCCTCAAGGAGTTTTTATTTTATCTTTAAAAATGCAATTCCAGTACGTAGCTTTAAATATATAAAAGTTTTTACAGTCACCCAGAAATTCCAAGGTATTTTCTCACAATTATTTCTGAACTGGCTCAACTTGAACATGAACGTACGTAACTTACGAGTCGTTTAAGTTGTATTTTTTCTTATTGTAATTTTACGTTTTATTTAGTCAGTTCCAACATTTGTTTTGTAATAGTCGTATACGAGTCATTCTTACTACAGGATAATCAAAACGAATCACTCCAAATTATTAGCGCCTTTTTTGACTTTTTGCTCTCTAATCATTTCACAATTTTTAATCAGAACAACAGCCGGTTGGAGCGAGAAGCATTGAAACAGAACTAATTAATTAAATGTGCAGTGATTAGAGGAATGAAATTTAGCTCACTTAATAGTATGTGAGCAACGTTGTAGCAACTATTGGTCTAGTTGCCCTTCAAAGACACTTTTTCCAACTCTCGAGCTATCGTAGTTTCCTAACGACATCGATTTTTCAACCGAGATAAGCCCTCTTCAATGCATCACTCGCATTTTTGTCACGTGCGGCTTCGACCAATTGTTTATCACGTCTCTAGTAAATGCTCCACATGTTCACGTCTTACGTTGATACGCTGAAAGGAATAGAACATTGGAACTCGGTTCTCTTGGAGAAGGAATTTGGACACCACCATTCCGACCTCTAGGAGCACAATTTGCCTATACTTTTAAATGAAGGCAGTTAATAAGAGTTTTTCACTTTCATTTTATCCCTTGGTTTTTCTCTGAAGTATTTTGCCCCATTCCTTTTTGCTTCTTTGTGTAAGTAGCCGAATGAATGAAGAAGAAATGGAACATCGGAACTAGCTCCTTCCGGAGAAGGAATTTGGATACCACCATTGCGTCCTCCAGGAGCACTATTTGCCAATACTTTTGAATGAAGGCAGTTAATAGTAGTTTTGCACATTTATCGTTTCCGTTTATTTCCTCCTAAGTATTTTACCCTGTTTCTTTTGCATCTTTGTGTAAGCAGCCGAATGAATGAAACTCGCCTTTCCCGGAGAAGGAATTTGGATACCACCATTGCGACCTCAAGGAGCGTAATTTGCCTATACTTTTAAATGAAGGCAATGTTAGGAGTCTTGCACTTTTATCATTTCCGTTTGTTTTCTCCAAAGTATTTTGCCCTGCTTTGTTGCTTCTTTGTGTACGTAGCCGAGAGTATGACTAAGTCGCGGGCTTCCTTTTTGTTCTCAGGTGAAGGACATCTGCAACGAGCTCGACGTCCGATCCCTGTGCCACAAGATCCTGCAGAACGTGATCACGCTCCTGCACGCGGACCGGGGGTCCCTGTTCTTGGTGCAGGGCGAGCGCGGCTACACGAGCTGCGGCCACTCCCACTCGCACAGCTTCAGCGAGCACTCCAACTCCAACAGTATTAGCTCCAACTCCGGCGCCGCTGCCAGCAACGGCAACGGCCGCCCCGAGCAAGTTCCTGAGCGCGTCCTCGAGCACGCTTCCTCGCCCGGGAAGCTGGCCAAGGAGGGCGCCGGCTCCGTCGTCGTCGGCTGCCCCGTCACCGGCTCCACCAACGTGGGCTCCCTCGGGGCCTGCGCCCGCGACGCGGACTCCGACGTCTTCCCGCCCTCCGCCCACCCGAACCACCCCCACACCCACACCCACCCTCACCCTCGGCCGGACGACGGGGAGCTCTCCGACTCGGGCGACCCGCCCGGCTGCAGCTCCCGGGTCCTCGTGTCCAAGCTCTTCGACGTCTGCTCCAAGTCCACGCTTGAGGAGATGGAGAAGAAGGAAGAGATCCGGATACCCTGGGGCGCCGGCATCGTCGGCTACGTCGCCGCCAGTGGCCAGTCCGTCAACATACCCGACGCCTACCAGGTAAGATACCGTCTCGAGTTTAACACCTCCCAGACCTCCCTAGGCTCTTGCAAAGGCGGATCCAACAGTTTAGCAACATCGGATATCCTCCATTTAAACCTATGCTAGATAATCGATTCTTGTCAGAGCACCTCCTCCCTCACCCCCCAAGAATACATTTCCGTAGGTTTATATGGAGGAAATCCGGTGTTGCCAAATTTCTGGATCCACCAACGGGTTCTTGTTGCGTTGTCAAACTACCCAGGAGTTCTTCCTAGGCGGAGTAATGAAAGACAAACAAAGGCCCTCCACTGATTGCTTGGCAATGGTGGATGTCTTCACTTTTGGCCTTTTTGGAACTGCTGCCACCTATCTAAGTGGCTTTTGAGCGCCACGCAAAGGAAAGCGCATTGCCTCACGCGCATTGCCACACAAGGAACCGCGGTTGTCAAAATTTAGATAACCTACTCCGGAAAGTTACGCATCTGGGTTATCAATGTCACTCGTCCAGATCAGATAGCCTTGTTAGAGTCCACGCCAAATAAGTTAACGCACTTTTTAGACTGCGACAGAAGATCCGCCATCTTGATTCTACCATTCATTTTAGAAGTGCATAAAATTATTTGGAGCGGTCTCTACTGGTATAAGTTCACTACCTCCACCCAAGCGCGAAGCGCAGCTACCTGGGCGAGTGACGCTCGTAATCTAAGAAGGTAACTTTCCGGGGCAAGTCAGATGAATTTTGACGACTGCAGTGAGCCAAAGGCAACGTGCTTTTTTGGCATGATACGTCGAGAAGTTAATCAACTCAGATTTATATTTGTATTTCGGTCATCCCGATGTAGAGTTTATTTGATCCTAACTTTGAGTTGGTTGAGATTCCATGCTGTATCTTTGATACATACAGAAGCAAAGCGCAAGTTTGTAGGCAAATAAAAAGCGGACCCTACGAGACGACGAGATCGGAGGGATGAGCCGAGATCAAGTGGCGCCGCACAGTGGATCAAGTCAATATTAGCGGTCGGACAAAATTTATAAACTTCATACGCTTATCACTCCGTTTATACAAAACTTTGAGGCTCTATAAGTGGTTCCATTGGTTTCCTAGTGAAATTGTCTTTCAGGGGCACATCTTAAAATTTAAAGTGTGACGAAATAAACACCATAATTTGCAGTTTTAGTCAAAAATTTGATGTCTGACCTCTCTGATTGACTCGATCTACTGTGCGGCGCGTCGCGAGGGAAGGAGCTCGTGCCGAAAAGTTCGCGTGTGAAGGCTCCAGGGGTTGTTCCCACCCTCTCCGGAGCCGAGCCGACGGATGATCAAAGCTAGTATCAATTACGGCTACAGAGTTTACTATGCGAGCATATTCGCAGCCCCGGGGCAGGAGGTGGCAGGGGGCAAGTTTCCAAGCGCATTTGGACGTATTTCTATCAAACGGAACTATGTGCATTATGACGTGAGCCCTGTCATGCATATATTCTTACGGGTCTCAGGGCTCATGTCTTAATGCACATAGTTCCGTTCGGTAGAAATACGTCCATTTCGCGCTCGGGGGGTCATTCCGTATCGGCAGAATTCAATATCGTCGCTCGTGCGAAGATTTATGGTTGCACAGCGGGCTCCCGGAGAGCGGGCGAGCTGCGTCGCATCGCGGATTTGTTTCCGCGGAGTTTTGATTTACCGCGCCGCGCCGCCGGAACCCCGACGCGGGCGAGGGAGGGCAAGGATTGGCCCCGTGGATCCCGGAACACATGTCGCGACACAATCAAAACTTGCGTCCTCGCCGGAATACGTACTACGTACTCTGCCATCCTAAGGAAGAACGCCGTATAAACCTTCAGGCGTTGCCAAATTTCCTTTGATAAAACTTGAATTTCCTGGTAAACTTATGGATATTTTCCTCCCAATTGTTCAAATTATTTTGTTAGCAATTTCGACTAAAGTTACGGAAAATTTCAAAGAAAAATATTCATAACTCTCCTCAAAAATAAGCATTTTATCGAAGGAAATTTGGCAACTCTCGAATGTTCATACGGCGTTCTTCCTTACCACGGCAGCACTCGCAACTCGCTCGCCGACGCGCACTGCTAAGCGCCAGCCTCGCCGCGCTGTACCCCTTTATCTTCGACTGTCTCTTTGACGCACGACTTCCTTCCAAGTCCCCCCTTCGATGTTACTACGTTTCAATCCGCAGGTGGTCGTGTTCTGTCGTGTTAAGGAAGAACGCCGTATGAGCTTTTGGACGTTGCTGGTTTCCTTTCGCAAAAGCCGAATTTACAGGGACAATTATGAATATTTTTATTCCAATTTTTCGGACGATTTTGCTCGCAATGAACCATTAGACAAGGTACGAATTTAAGCATTCTAATACATGTTTCTTGACCAGAATTTTACGTAGAACACGATGCGCACAACGAAAATTACCAAAATCAACTCCCTACGAAGATATTTAGTGATTCTTGATGCGTAAATTCAAACCACCCGCTCATGAAAACTCAATGCTCTACGTGATTCACATAGCGCGCTAAACGTTATCATGACAGTATCTGCGATTTAAAAATCTGGCAGCCTCAATTTTAACGCTTTGGCTCAGCTATAGAAAATTGCTTATAGTTTGAACGAAACATGGTGGGAAATGAACATTGCTCGACTGAGAAGCTTGCTGAAACCGTTGTAGTGCGCGATTTGACTCGCGTAGAGCTTTGAGTTTCTTGTGAGCGGGCAGTTCAAATTCCTCGTAACCAATGTGAAATAATAATGTTAATATCTCCGTTAGGAGTTGGTTTCAAGAATTTTCATTGCGCGAATCGTGTTCTACGTGAAATTCTGGTTAAGAAACATGTATCAGAATGCTTGAATTCGTACCGTGTCAAGTGGTCCATTAAATCTAAAATATTTAAAAATTTCATGGAAAAATATTCGAGAAGTTCCTCAAAAGTGAGCTTTTTTCGAGGGAAATTTGGCAACGCTTGAATGTTCTTACGACGTTTTCCCCAAGCGCGGCAGTATTCTTCAGAAATAGCAAATTCGGAATGTTTGTTTTTGCGAGTGAGCAAGGATTCGTGAAGCACCTGCAATCCTATAGGTGGACCCAGGGCCGGCTTCACCCACTTGCCGCCCATGGGCCGCCTATATTTTGCCGTACCCTTCTAATTCGTTTTGAAACTCGATACAAACCATCAAATGAACGTGCCAGCGGGGGAGGGGTGCATAAGACGCATTTACTCGTGTTGAACACACTTTTTGGGAAAGCCCTGTCAACACTACTAGCAAAAGTTCACGAAACTTTGCGCGAAAGTTAAGTTCCGTAAACCTACCTCTGTGTGGACAAGGCCTTCCATTCACAAGAAATGAACGAAAAAATTATAAAAGAACAAACATAAATGTGGTTCAATGATTTTAACTTCCGCCGCCGCGCCGCGCAGACCGCACCGTGTTGGACGCAATGCGTGAAGTATTCACGCAGTCTTGTAGGCGCTATGCGATTCACGCTGACCGCATTGTGTTTGGTGCAATGCGTGAAGTATTCATGCATTCCTGTAGGCGCTATCCGTTTCACGCTGACAGCAATGCCCGCAGTGTGTTTGATGCAATGCGTGAAGTATTCGTGCAGTCTTGTAGGCGCTAATATGTGTTACATGCCGATCGCCGCGCCGAGAGCTTCTCCTTTTCATCTCAAATCCTCGTTATCATTTCTCTGTAAGTCGTTCAGGCTATATTGCGTGTTTGGTCTCTCTCTTATTAACTCGATTTATTGAAGGTGCTGGCTCTTGTATCACCTAAAGACAACAAAATCAGAAATTACTATACTCTCAGGAAATGAGAGATTTTGTCGCCTTTTCTCGTTTGTAATTCTGTTTTTATAAATCCGATTTTTTTTATACCTACACTTTAAAAAATTGCAAATTTTTGCCGCCCCTTAGATTTGCCGCCATGGGCCACGGCCCATGTGACCACCCCCTTAATCCGGCCCTGGGTGGAACCAGTAATTTCCTCCGATTGAGGAACAGATTGTGGGCTGATTTTATCTTTGAACGTGAAGGGGAAAAGGAATCTTAGTCCATACCTAGAAATTCAAAATCGAGTATTTGATAACAGATCATGGGGGGTTTTTCAGCAGAACTGGGGGGGGGGGGGGGTGCTTAAAACAGTCAAATCAAACCAGATCGGAGTTAGAATAGATATACTTAGAACATTGAGTATACTCTCTCTGCAATGAATCTTTTTCCAATACCTAAGTGTAGCATAATTTTTTGACTCCTGACACCTTACATCTTACATATTTTTCCTTCTCAAAGTAATTCATTATCTACTTCAAAGATAATTACTGTCATGCCTATAATACATCAAAGTTCCTTTCTGATTCACCAAATCTTAATCAATTTTTGTTTTAATTTTTCAGGACGAGCGATTTAACCATGACATAGACGCTCGGACAGGCTATAAAACACAGTCTATGTTGTGTATGCCCATCAATGACTTCAATGGCGACGTAATTGGTGTAGCTCAGGTGAGTGCAGATATACCATTCCCGATGAACCTACTCTCCTAACGATTTTGTTAGTATGGATTCTAGGACCCGCTAGTAGGTACTTCCTACTTCTAAAAGCTCGCAAAAATTGAAAATCCTCCCTCCCGCCCCTTTAAAAAAAGAAATTATCATTTAATTTTCCACCATGCATTTTACCCTCATTAAAGCACCCTTCCTTTAGTTTAGGCGACTGTGAGATCATATCTAACGTAAAAGGAAAACAAAATTTTTCATGTATTTTTAGGTACCTGCTATATCATTTAATTTTGCTTTACCAATACTTTATTTTTTTTTGTTCCAGGTTATTAACAAGCAAGGTGATTCAGCATTTACGCCCAATGATGAAAAAGTATTCGAGAGTTACTTACAATTTTGTGGTATTGGTTTGCGAAATGCACAGCTGTATGAAAAAAGTCAGTTAGAAGTGAAACGAAATCAGGTTAGAATGGCTCTAATATACTTTTCTCTCAGCAATGATGCACGTTCGATCACTGTGCGCCCAAGATATTATGAAGGCCGCAGATTGGAAGCTATCAGAGTTGTATAAATTATGTATTGCAGCTTAAAGGACTTAAGTCAATGACTGCCAGAAAGAAATTCGTCTCTATATTATTGTATATTTTCCGTGATGGGACATAGGTCATTTGTACTTTTCATATTAATTTATGCAGCACCTGCATCTGAGAAGGATTTCTGTAAGAGGCACTAATAGTTTTTCCGGAAGGAGGCATCAGACCCTTCCTCTGCATCCATCGAAAAAGAAAAGCTAAGAGAACAAACACAATTTCTCCATGCTGCAAATTCTCTGATATTTAGTGAAAGTGAGTCACTGTATTTGTCGAGACTAGGAGGGTGCACCCCCGACTGCTTCTCAGTCTAACCCCCCGAAGCGCTTTGCGCCGTGGGCATCTTGCGTTATGTTTTACGCTTTACTCTTATCATTCTTGACTATAGAGAGTGATTTGTATTTATATTTTGGCTCTTTTAATGCTTTCAGGTATTATTAGATTTAGCTAGGATGATATTTGAAGAACAAAGTACAATAGAGCACATGGTTTTTCGAATTTTAACTCATATGCAGTCTCTAATTCAATGTCAAAGGGTTCAGGTATGTTTGTCACAAGTTAGTCTTCATAATTTTTTTGTTTTTTTTTTTAATTTTAATATAATACTATTTCGTTTTGCTTCATCTATCATGAATTTTCAAATTTCAATTGCTGTGATACATTTTATATTTTTTCTGCATTTTATTTGGAAAACCCAGTTTTGCTTTAATATTTAAGTATACCTAGATTAGAACTCATAACTGAAGTCATTGGAAAAATATTGGCACTCCCATAAGAAAATTTTTCACACAAAATCTGGCATTCTGTGTCAGTTTGATGAAGGACTTTTACCTAAATTGCCGTTATTATTCGATATATCTGTTCCTAGTTGAGCTTCAAAAAAATCATCTCACATTTGAAACATCCTTGCACTGTCATAGTTTTAAATGCTCAGTTACTTTAGTTGATTGTAGACAGACTATATTAGTTTTAGTTTTTGTATGTAAATGAGTAGAATTGATTAATTCACATTCGATTTTAAATATTCCTATTATTCATAGTAATTATTTATCAAGCTTTTCAATCAATGAGTTCTCCTTTTGATCATAATTTAGAGACAAAATGATATCAGATGTTAATAAATGGATTTTTTTTACGTTTTGTAGATATTATTGGTTCATAAAGCATCAAAGGGAAGTTTTTCTCGAGTCTTTGATTTTGAAGCAAGTGATCTCGAAACAGAGGATAGCGAAGAACGAACTAGGTAAACTTCTACAATTTATGTTTATGACATCTCTATTTGATTCCAGAATATCTTCACATAGAAACTGATCAAGAAAAAAATCTATAGATTTTATAAAGGTGTCTTTTCACGATCCTAAATTAAAAAGACATTCATTCCTTATAATTTTGATTACGTATGTGGTGTTGAGACCACCACATTTGTTAACAATCTTGGCAAAATTAAATACCGAGGGAAATGGATCAATGTCCCTCATTAAAAGCTTCTCTTATCTAATCTAGGAGATTACGATAAAGAGAAGGCATCCTGAACGAGATCTTTCTGATTCTCATGCCCATTTTATTTTTTAATCCATTACTTGTGAACTTGAGGGGCTAAGGCTGTTGAAGCTGAGGTACTACTGCTTGTTACATCACATTGAAAATATTTTAAAATTTCTAAAACTGAACTCCTCTTATCCTCTCATTTTTTATTCAAATCAATTTTTATAGGAGTCCTTTTAAAAATCATCTTGTTTGATTTCAGTCCATTTGAAAGCCGTTTTCCTGTGAATGTTGGTATTACTGGTTACGTTGCAACTACAGGTGAGGTATGTAGAGGAAAAGGGATCATCTGCATGTTTGCCAATCCTGTTACTTTTTTCACTTCAATTTTTCCTCACTAACAGGGAGTTTAAATTTTTTAACGTCCAAGAACAATTTGAATGCAATAAAACTGAATCCCTAAAAATTTAAAATTACTTACTGTTTATCTTTAAAACCACATGTAGGTAATGCTTTTTGTCCGTGGGCCATTATTTGTTTAAAACAATCCTAATATACTTTTTGCTTACTTAGCTTAATCTTATCAAATGCTTTACTGACGCTTTTAAGATTTTAAATCATTTTTTAGCCTTTACATAATGATTTTATTTCATTTCATCTTCTAGAATACGCCTTAGAAACATTATTAGTCAACTATAATTCAGATGCCACCATATGTTTCAAGGAATTATCCTACCATCCTCTATTCAAAATTTGATTTGAATATTTAAGAGTTACATTAATTTAGATTCTATCTAGAATAATATAGGACCTTGAGAATTTACTGGCAAGTGAATTGAAGTGCAGCAGTTTTGACCGGAACTGGGAGGAACTGTTTTCAGATCGAATTTCAACAAAAAAGTATCTTGAGCTTAATGTTGACCCAATTATTTTCAAAATTATCCTCCAGGGCCTACACTTTTGAGTTTTTAATTTACGTAGTTCCATCTGTGATTTTTTTAAAAGAGTGTTCACAGTTTTAACATGTTTATACCTATCAACGCCAAAATGTCGTATATTTAACATTAAAAAAATCAAAAGAATTACACCTGTCCCATTTCCAAAGTTAAATAGTTTCAAATGTTTTATCCCTCATCACTATAATTTTTAGGGCACCATAAATATTTCGATTTGTCTTTCTTATAATTAATTTTATTTCAACTTTCAGACTGTAAACATTGTAAATGCGTATGAGGATGAAAGGTTTGATCCAGCTGTGGATGAAAATAGTGGTTTCAAACATAAAAATATTCTCTGTATGCCGATAAAAAATGCCTCCGGTCAAATAATTGGCGTTATTCAGGTAATTCTTTGTCTTTTATTTTCTGCTTATCACTATTTGTAACAATATTATATGCTCTGATTTCTTAAAAGTTGTCCGTTTACATGATATAAATCAGCAAGTATTCACTAAGTTCATCACATATATAGGAAAGATTTCATTTTTTCAGATCAGAAACTGAAAATAGTTTATAGAAGTTGGAAATCGAAGTTGCTGTTTCAATGGTACTGTAGTTGGCAGTTCCCCTTGGATGCTGTGCCAATTATAGGTCTATTTAATTGAGGATTTGATTTGATGTTAATCTCTTTTAATTTATCTGTTTCAGTTAATTAACAAATTTGATGATCTCTCTTTCACCAAAAATGACGAAAACTTTGTCGAAGCATTTGCAATTTTTTGTGGAATGGGAATCCACAACACGCACATGTAAGTCTGTAGTTAATTTGTATCTTGAATAGGTATTTTTAGCTGATAGCTTCGAAAATTAGGTAGATAATTTTTAATGAAAGTTAATTGGAGTATGGGCTACGCTCAATTTTCTTCAATGATCAAATTCAAAATCAAAATTCAAGATCAAATTCAAATTTCAATGATCTTTCATTTTTTTACAAGAACCTCGTAAATTGTGTAATCTGCTATGACCAATAGTTCATGCTGTTATGCTGTCCATCCGCAGTAATTGAAATAATATCAGAAACTAAATGCAAGTGGATAAAATAGAAATTTCTTTGAGCTTAGGTACTTTAATAATTTTTTCGCACGGATTCCCTACTTTCCCTACTTTTCCTTCTAATTCAAAAGGAGGAAAAAAACACTAAGAATGTGCCATGCATACTGCAAGTATAACTGATGGTAAAATAGTGCTTAGTCCATACTATTCTGAAGGAAAAATCAAAACCAGAAAAAAACAGAAATTAGAGTTAGAGTTACAAAATGGCCTGAGAGTTGCTCAACAGTAGCAGCAGGTGGCCCAAAAACTTCAATTTTGTGTCATGACTTGTTTTATATTGAAGGTAAGAGTAATAGGTAAGAAACTCTTTGTTTGAAGTATTACTCTTCTTCTTTATTCAAGTAAGATAATTTTTTGTTTGCAGGTACGAAAAGACTGTGATAGCAATGGCAAAGCAAAGTGTCACTTTAGAGGTTCTTAGTTACCATGCCTCAGCAACTTTAGAAGATGCGCAACGACTCAATGTAATTTATCCTTAAAATTTATCCATCCTTATTCTAATTCCATGTACTAGTCTACTAATATTTAGCTTTGAAAGCTGAGGTACGGTAGACATTAATTATAGAACTCTTAATCTAAAATATACCTGAATTCTAAAACTTCATAAATACTCACTTGCGAAAAAATTGATATCAGTTTTACCCGGTCTGTGCGACTTTGAATCTCTCCTAGACTCTGAGACTGAGGATGACAGAAAGTAGAGCTGGAGAAACTAGTCTACAAAAATATATCAATTTATGCACAAATGAGTATTAACGTGGTTGTTAAACTTTATCGTGTTGGGTTCTCCGGAATTATTTTACTGTACCCAAATTACCTGCTTTTATAGGAAGATACACAAGAAGATAAATTTCCACTACAGTAGATGACAGTTCAATATTTTTCCAGCATATTAGCCCTTTTAATAATCTTTAAATTTCTGAATGAAAGTTCTCCAAAGATTTGTATCTAAAAATTACAAAAAAAAAAAAATAAATAAATAAAAAAATAAAAATCTGAAACAAGAAGTCAAAATGTTTCTTTTTTATCCCAATAATGTGACCTTTAAAAGTATGCTTTTCTCTAAGATGAAGTTTTTCCTGTTTTATACAGAGTTTATATGTTCCATCAGCTGCTACATTCCGATTATACGATTTCAAATTTGATGATATAAACATGGAGGATATGGACACGCTCAAAGTAAGTAGATAAATTTGACTGTATCCATTTTCTTTTATCAAAACTGGTATCTCAAAGGGGAAAAAAATCGATTCTCTTCTTTCTTTCAAAGGAAAAGAAAATTCCATCCACACTGACCAAAGCAGAGAAAGGAAGCAGCTTCATAAGTTTACATATACTTGAGAGTCAGTTAAAGAAGAGTTCATTCAATGCATTAGTTATTGCTGCAGTGTGGTTGAACACTAACTTCAAGGATTTTTTTTTTACTCAAAGGCCTTACTAATTTGATCAGTATTGCAGTAGTCAGAAATAACCCAGGTCATGAACCATTTCGGGGTAAATTATTTTATCATGAAATTCAATTTAGGGATGGTTCTGTTTGTCAGCACAGTGCCGACGAATATAACGCTATTTGTTGGAATCAAATCAACAAAAAAAATGCTATTTTATTTTCTGATATTGTACCTACAAACAAAATGAGATTTTTTGGCATCGCACTGATGAATGAAACCCCATTTGTCGGAACAGGACCAACGAGTAAAATAAAATTTTTTTGTACTGAATCAATGAATGCCAGAGGAGCTCTGGCAGGATCGCTATTAGTGACGGTTGGATAGTGCAGAGCGCATAGAAGCGCTGTGAGAGCGACATCTTAGTTAGTTATCAATGAATGAAATTTTTTTTCTAAAACGGTTCTTTTTACCCGACGGCAATATGCCTGGTCTTCAAATTATGAAAACAATTTTGTGTCTCAGCTGGTTAGGGAAATGAATAACCCCCCTTGATAACTCAGTAACAGGATGCTTTGTATCAAACTTCTTTTAATAAGATGCCTAGCAACTATTTTGCAGGTGCTTTTTTATTTATTCCCACCTGTAATTTCAAGACAAGAAACTATAGATGCCGTCCACTTGTCCATCTGGTTTGAAAGTTCATGTAACTTTTTAAATTTAATCAATCATGCATGAATGTCTCATGATTTTCTACTTAATTTCGTTTTTGAATAAATTTTGCTTTCTCTCCTGTTATTTCTTCATAGCACTGATGTTAAGTCTAATTTCAGGCTTGTCTAAGAATGTTCATGGATCTGGGACTCATGAGTTCATTTAATATAGACAAAGAAGTCTTATGTCGCTGGTTGCTGAGTGTAAAGAAAAACTATCGAAATGTGATTTATCATAATTGGAGGCATGCATTCAATGTAGCTCAAATGATGTTCGCTATCATTACGGTGAGTAGTCAAACTTTTTTATTAAATTATCTTTTACAATTAACCCTCAATCAAAAAAAATTGGAAAAAATTACCAAAAACACGACTACAAAGAACCCCGCACAGAGCATGGGCTCAGCGGCTCTCTGTGAAAGTCGATGAAACTTTAATAGATTATTATAAAGTTCATAATTAAGGGAAAGCCAAAAAATTAGCTCACTTCTACGAGTAGAAGCCGAGATATTTGCGATTGAACCTGGACTATTTTCTATCATGCCGCAGCATGACGGAGGAATTCCGAGTCCCCTTTCCTCTCGTTGTTCGGCGTTCTCTATCAGACCTCACGTCACTCACGGGAAGATAGGTGCTTATGCGCTCGGCCTGTGCGAATGCTGTGCTCCCTCCCTCTCCCAGCATCTGTCAATTCTGTTTCAGCAACTACATTTCAGATTAAACCGGCCGGCGGCGCCGGCACAGGAGAGGTGCGAGAAGGAGGGAATTCCATATCGCACAGCCCGAACGGAGCGTCCTAATGAAAGGAGTGAGTGTAAACAATCCGACATCGTAGTTACCTGGTGGGGAGGGGGGGTTTCCTGGCCGAAGTGTTCAAGCAAGGTACGTCGACGCGGAGAATTTACCTCCACCGCACGGAAAATAGTCAGGGTTCAATCGCGAATATCTCGGCTTCTACTCGTAGAAGTGAGCTAATTTTTTGGCTTTCCCTTAATTATGAACTTTATATCAATCTATTAAAGTTTCATCAACTTTCATAGAGAGCCGCTGAGCCCATGCTCTGTGCGGGGTTCTTTCCTAATGTACAAAGAGGTACTTTCGCAATAATTATTTAGCAAAAGTTTTCAATGTCATTTTTGCCAGTTGCTCATCGCATTTTTACCCTCCACACAGAGTAAGCAATCCATGCCGAGTCAAAAATTAAACTTAGAGCTTTGTTTACAAATAAAAACTTTATAATCAAATGCCTGCAGTCCAGCTGAAATATGCGTATCTAGTTATTCATTTTTGCAGCATAATAATCAAAGATGTGAAAAATTAGAAGAAGTAAATCAAAAATATTTTTAAAATCAATCAAATTGAATCAGTATCAAGTTACAATAATTTTCCTTCTATTTCCTCTGTGATTTGAATTTTTTTGTCTTATCCCTCATCAGGCAACGCAATGGTGGAAGCACTTAATCATCGATGAAATCGAATGCCTTTCACTGATGATTGCCTGTTTATGTCATGATCTCGACCATCGTGGAACTAATAACTCCTTCCAAATAAAGTAAGATATTAATTTGGTAGCTCTCGCAAGAATTTTACAAGTAATTTCATTGTCTGTATTTTTCAACGTAACTAAACATTTTCATTCTCCTCAAAGAATACTTAAAATTTTTAGGTGGATTTATTGCATTTTTTCTATGTGTTCACTTGGGGTATTATCAGTTGTAGGTCTTCAATTCTTCTGTGTAGTGTGTGTGTAGAAATGCCCTTCTGGCATTTTTCATCTGTTGGGGAAGCATCACCAATTGAACAATGTTCTTTATTTGAAACTAAATACTCAACTCTGTGTCATAGAACTTTTTTTCTTGTAGTCAAATCAAGACACATAGGTCCTATTGCACTCCTTTCAAGTTTTCATTTTTCAATAATAATTTTAATTTACATTACTTAATTTTTTTATTTCAGAGCTTCTTCGCCCCTGGCACAACTATATTCTACGTCAACCATGGAGCATCATCATTTTGATCAATGTGTTATGATTCTAAATAGTCAGGTATGTTTTTTCTCTTACTATTTGCCTCATGTTGAAAAGAATGTGCGTATGAAGTTCAAAAGAAAAAATGATGAAATTTCAAGAGGAAAGATAAAAGCGTGGAGTTTAATATTCCGACGGTGTAAACTGGCAATCACATAACTCGTTTGCAGCGTCCGAAAATCTCCGCCTCTATGTTATTTTTTTAAAAGAGAACAAATCGACATCATTCCTTGAAGTTTATGCAGAATTTTCTTTGCATGGAGAAAAAAAATCACAGAAGTTTTAAAGAATTGCTGTTGAGCAGTTTTCCGTTTAAAAAATAACGTATGACAGGAAGTCTGCGACATTGCAAACCAAGTTATGTGATTGCCGACTCACACCGTCAATTTGAGATTGTCTGAAGTTCCTTGTTGGAAACTTAGTCTAACTTAAAAGTAGTTTAATTTAATATTAGCTTGAAGTTTTAAGAATGAATGAAAATATATAGTATTCTGAGGTAGAAATTGTCTATGATCCAAAATTCTGTCATTTCCAAGCTAGAAGTACCCTTTTTTCAGCACCAGTCAATGCGTGGCTGAAATCAGAATATCTATGAATTTTTGTCATTTCCTGAACATTGTAACATTAGCGTGATCTGCCTTTATTGCTGTAAATTCTCATGAGAAATTAAGTATGTAGCCTAAAAATGGTGAAAAAATAGTGCATGGGAAATGTTTCAATTCCTATTCAATCGTATCGGGTGTCAATTGGACCACATTTTGTAATAAGGAACCACTATTTCTGGCTCATGTTAGAAAGAGGATATGAGCCATTGGTTTCCCTATGCAGGAAGGTGCTTTTGTGAATGAGCTGGAGATAGTGGTTCCTTATTGCAAAATGTAATCCAATTAGTCTCATGTGAGTGTTAAGCCCTCTCCCTGGTTAATTTAATTGTGTAATATCCTAATAACAAGTTCTACCTTGTCGCAGATGAGTTTACCCATTTCATCTGCTTGTGCTGATAGAAGCTACAGGATCAGAGTAAGCAGATAAGATGATAAACGTATCCGAAGTGGAGTTTATGATTGTATTTAACCAAATCCCTTTAAGTTTATTTTCAGTCAACCCAAAGAGGTTAATTTTCCTGATTATTCTCTCATTATTACTTTTTATGAAAGTTCTCTGCACTGCTTCCTATCTTTCTTTCACTACCAGATTTTTTGCAAATATATATAGGAATCATGTGTCCTTCCTTTTCTTTTTTGCTGTTTTTAATTCTCATAAATTAATATTTTTTTGCTACAGGGGAACCAAATTCTTAGCAACATTTCATCAGAAGAGTATTCCAGAGTTATTAAAGTTTTAGAAGACGCAATTTTATCTACAGACTTGGCTGTATATTTCAGGTAATCTTACGTAGATCAATCATTTTTTCCTCTTCTTTTCCTTCAAATCAACCATTTTAGTACCCGTTACAACATTTAATTCAATACAGTATAGGTTCTACTGAATGTAGTATAATGTATTTTCTAGTATTGTGTACTTATGTATTTAAATAGAGCTGTGCTCTATAAGTCTGATTACCATGATTCAACTTTCCATTCAACTCTTCTTCTGCTTTTGTTGAACGAAAATTTGGAGCAAGAGGCACTTACACGAAAACACAACAACTTGATGAAAAGTTGAGCAGAACGTCGAATCAACATCAACCAAAGCAGTATATCTTCGCAAATCGGAAGCTGCCTGAGGCATCCGAAATCCATTTGATGATATCTCATGGCAGTGGTAATTGTATTAAATTTTTCTGCAATCAAGTTTCTATCTGTTCCAACTTTTTGTCTGCTTTTATTGGATGAAAAGTTGAATCAAGTGAATTGGGCTTATGGAGTTTAAGGTTCAAAATAAGATTCAGTTACAATTAAATGTGACAACTAAGATTAAAATCTAAAAAAATTGAATGTGTTCATGCACTCACTTCTACTCCGTCTGCCACACTGAAGCCATGAGAAAGGCGGAGGGTCAAGGAAGGGAAAGACACTTAAATTATGTTGTTTATCTCTTGTAATAAATGTAGAGTGCGGAAATCAACAGAGTGGAAGAAAAAAATTTGGAGCGTGGTTGTCGCTAAGACTAAGTATATCAAATCGTCATTACTTTTTAAAAGTATTCGATCATCAAAATTTATAAAATTTTAAAATACATGTAAATATTAGCACCTGATTGAGAGGGATTTTTATCTTGGAAAGTATTTTTTCCCCTTCCTCATCTTGTATTGACTTTTAGTACATATTAAGAATATATTTGTCTATCTCCTCAGGAAACGAGGGGCGTTCTTGAATCTTGTCAAGGAGAGGGAGTATGACTGGTCAAAAGAAGAGCACAGAGAGTTACTGCGTGGTATGACAATGACAGTCTGTGACTTAGCTGCCATCACAAAGCCATGGGATGTCGAGAAAAGGGTGTGTTTTTTTTCTCTGTTTGAAAGTTAACGTTTGATAATAAAATTCTTGTTTATCAAAGAGCAATTTTTTTATCTATTATTTTCCTCAATTATAACTTTCCTCATCTGGAACAGGGAAGACTAACTTAATTATCTAATAGTTTAATTATACTCTTAAATAGCATATTTCCTGCATTAGACCTGTGGATTGTTACTTAGGGATTGTTGTTGTTTGTTTCTTACAAACCCAAAATATGAACAATGCTATTTCCTTGCAGCAGTAATGACTGTGAATATTTTATATGAAACTCAAGTCCTAGCTTTCTCTAATATAACATTTCATGACTCTAAAACTGAGTGGATTCTCATCACTTTTTCAGGTTGCTGAACTTGTTTCAAGTGAATTCTTTGAGCAAGGAGATATTGAACGGGAGGAACTGAACATAACCCCCATCGTAAGTTTTCTCTTTGTCAATTTTCCTTTTTTCCCTTATTTTTTAAAATTAACTTGAATATATTTCCACGAAGCTCAGTAATTTTCAGAGTCAAACTCATGAATGAAGAAAAATCTGTCAATTATTTGGAAAATATCTTTAGGTCTACTTACTCATTTATTCATATCAAATGTCACTTTGCTCTTTATGAGCTCTTCGTTGATTTATTCAAATAAATTTGTAAGAAAAAACGTGTGCGCTTTTAGTTTTATTTATTGTGTATTTTGTGTTTTTAGGGACATTATATTCCTTATTAATGTTGGAGATTTCTAGAATTTATCATACATTTTGATGGTAACTTCATTTGTTTTATACTGGAAATTTTACACAGAATACATAATGAAGGTTTCTTAATTTGTTTAATTTAATAGTTTTCCTTCCTTTTTTTAAAGTTTAATTAAATAAGCCATTACTGGAAGGGTGTTTATACTTTTCTTTTAATCTTGTGCTTACAATCATTTGAATGTAAGTAAATAAAATAAGAGTCCGACAATGGAGTGCCAGATACCCCTGTGTTTAGTCAGCAGTGGTGGAGCAACAATTTGGCTTTTGATTGGGGTTGGCATTCGTAGCCAATCAGGTTGCAACTCACTGTTAGTAACCTGCTCAAAGTATGATTGGATTCTACTTTTGGCTCCAACCAACACGTCTAGCAAACAGGTGTATTTGATGCTTTGGTCTCATCTGTCATTTAAATTGCTTACAAACATTTTATTGATTTCCAGGATATCATGAATCGAGAGAAAGAAGATCAATTACCAATGATGCAAGTTGGATTTATAGATTCCATTTGTCTACCTATTTATGAAGTAAGTTCCTTGTTATTCTACTTCCATGCCCATTTCTAATTTCTGTTCAACTAGAAACATTAGTTTTTGATGGCTGAGTTGAACAATGGACCAGACAGGGTTAAAGCTAATCTCTTACAGATTAGTTTCCTTTCCAAAATTTCTTGCAGAACATTCGGATCATGCAAAAAATGTCCATAATTTCTATGGAAAAAAATCAAAATTCAAGAAATAAAATGCGTTTTATTTTTAATGATTTTGTCTTCAAATTTCGCCAAATAAATGAATTTGAAGGAGACCGTATTGGAATCGATTATGATGTTTCCATTTTACTCACTAAATTATTTTTCTTCCTCAGGCATTTGCTGAGCTGTCAGAAGAATTAGAGCCCTTGGTTGAAGGTGTCCGCGAAAATAAAAAAAACTGGCTTGATTTAGCAGAGGAACGGAGAAGGCACAATTGTCAACAACAACAGCAACAAACAACTGTCAATGAACAGGTCGTTCCTTCCAGTTAGGAGTTCTCATCTTGAATTTTAAAATAAAATTTGTAAGTCATAATATTGTGATGTTTTTTAGGCTATGAATTTCTACTTGTAAATTTTAGAGGAGGAAAAAATAATGGATCTTAATTTAAACTGAATTTGTAAATCATCAAACTCATCCCAGAAAAAGAAGATGTGATGCAGGAGGTTACTTTGAAGTACATTAATTTGATCAAGTCATTTCCTTCTATGTCAAATCAATTCCTAGAGAAATACAAAGCTAGACAATGACGTTTTATTATTTTACTACTATTTCTGCTCTCTCTAGCAAGCAGGAACTTCATAACTAGCAGCTTCACAGGATTTTAATTTTGGTTAGGTAGGTACCCAATTCTTTCTTCCATTTCCTTCGTTACCTAAATTGTACCTGTAATTTCATGAAGTGACCTGAGTGACTCTTCATAATCAATTTTTGACTTGTGATACACCTGTAATCATGAATATTACTCGTTGTTTCTTAAAGGATGTGAATAGTGAAAAATGTTTATTTATACCTCTCACAACCAAATGTAGTAGTCAAAAGCAAGAGGCTGTCGTAACCTTTAGCGATAGCTGGAATACATTAACGGTGAAACTCCCAAACCTTGTATTTTGTTTGAGGTGTTTTAAAATCCCCCCTCTCATTTGATGTATTGGAAGGGGAACAATTCAACATCATTCCCTGAAGTTTTCACAGAGATTTCTCTGTATCTATCAGAAAATCACAGAAGTTTTCTAGAATTGATGTCTTTCCATCTGTAAAATAAAGTTTAATTGGAAGTCTGGAACATTGCAAACCGAGATACATGGTTTTGGAGTTTCATTGTCGATAATATGATTCCTTTTGGTAGGTTGTTATAAAATTACAATGGGTCGCGAGGAAGCAATGTAAAACTCACTTCTTACCCTCACAATTTATCTTAGGAATTTGTGCCCTCTCGGACCCCTCCCTACTAAAATACCTCCCATTGACAAGGAACCATAATTTCTTATCTTTGAAAAAAGGGTAGATTAGTGGAAATCTGCATCAAATTACATTTTTGCCGCTACACAGGGTAATCCAGAAATCCCGCACCACCAGCACCATGTATCATCCCTGTAACTTTTGAACAAATTCATACAGAAACTTGAAATTTTATAAATACTCCTGGGACAGAGGGAACGACTTTTGGGAACTCGCAAAATTTAAGAGGGATCACTTCGAAATGGGACTAAAACCTCAGGGTGAATAGGAGTGTTGCAGGAATTTTGGATCACTCTGTCTACTTTTTATAGCCTTATACCCAAATTCTGCTGATTCCCCACCCAACTTGTGAGTTGATAAATAAATTATGTATTATTCTATTGTGCTCGGCAAGATTTTTAAGCGATTGTGTGGAGGGGATAGTTCTTATCATAGAATTTAGAATTGTTTGCAATATAGTCCATTATAGAACATCTTCAATTTCTGCAGACAGCCATTCTGTAGCAATAAGGCTGCTCAATGCAACCTTGTAGACTTTTTGCTACGAGCCAAATGCATGTGCATTAAATTTTTGAAAACCAGATCTACTCGTAGTTGAAATGGAAGATATTCTTCCAATAACATCATGACGCATATACCTTCATTACTTGGCTTGAGAAAAGAGAAATAAAGACAGTGCAAGTTAATTTGCTTACCTTCCACATGATTTGTTTTGTTCTCAAAAGGAACTCAATTTACACTCATTTACAAAAACTGTTCAAGTATGACAACAGAAAGTTTACCTCACTAAAAACTCCTTTACTCCCTTAATTTTGTGAGAAATGCAGACATCTTTCCGTAGAACCGCAGCTGGCTGTTTTCTCTTTCTCTGATTCAGTGTAATATTTGGAGCTTAGGACTGAATTTCTATTCCCCTGGTTCATGTTATCACCAATTTCAGCATTTACTCTGCTTGCTTCAATGCCTCTATGACGAAATTCAGTATGCTTATTTCATGTTGAACTCATTTTGGGACCAATGATGATTTCTGCAATTAGTTCAACACTTATCAATAGTATTTTGATGAAAATTTTAGTGAAGGTTTATCCGTGATACTGGAGAGTATATGTTATTTTAAGATCCTCATGTATAGCGCTCAGTACAGATGTGTGAGAACCACTAACATAACAAGCATTAGGTGGTTGACAAATATGTTTTACAAACGTATGCAACAAATTTGTGTATTGAAAACATACTGTAGTAAATTAGAGTATCAGAGCTCTTCACTGTTGTAAATTCTTCATTAACAAAAAGGATGACTAAATAGTTTTTGTGCAACTAGATACTCCTGATCTTCTAAGGCCGTCCACATCTATTCTTCGTTTTCCGAAGGTTTTAGTTGCTGTTCTGAAACAGCTATTCCTATACGTTAGGTTGTAGCAAAATGTATAATAGCAGATTTTGCTGCTGATAATGATTCCCAAAAATGTCTCCCTTCTCAAACTAATCTACGAATTTATTTTGAAATGCGGGTGTACGATTTTATTTAATATTTTATGAAATTCAGATTTTAACTCCGTTTTCAGTACCTAGTTTAGTCTATTTTGTTTACATTAACTTCAAATGAGAAATCTACCAAAGATGATTTTATAATTAAGCAGCGAATTCTTCTCTGAAATTTTCTTTACTGATTTTATTATCTCGTTGATTCTTTTCTATTCTATTTTTTTAATTGTGTATTTTATTCTTGTCCCTTTTTTACGTTCTATTCCATTTGATCATGCTTGTGTGTTCAAATCATCAGTAATCATTCATCATCCCCAGAATTTGTCCCTGCCTACAGTTGTATTTCAATTATTTGGACAATCCACAATTGTAATTATCTGGATCTATTGTGCAAGTACTATCTAACCATAGATCTGAAAAAAAATTTAAACTTTGAGAAAAACTATTAAAAAAAAATCAGAATTTGAAAAAAAAAAAAATTCCGAAAAATGCTGATTAATATTAATGCAACATGAAGGAAATTCTTACAAGTACATAAAGTAGCAGTCCATGTACAAACATTTTTCATCGGTCCTGGGACAATATTGTTCCAATTTTTAAGTATCCAGATAGTTACATATCTTGAACAGCCCAAGATGGATCAATCCAAATAATTGAGGAAGCATTTTAGTTTCCATTTAATTTGATCCTATTTATTCCTGGTTGTTTTTCAATTTGTGTTTAGTGCTGTTTTATATGTTCATGTTTTTATTTTTATTCTTATTTTTTCAACTGTAAAATATTTCCACAACCCGGTTAACGTACAATAATTCAAATTTGTATTCTGTCTTACATCCATCCATGTGTAATGATTGTTTGTTTGCAACAAGTCTCAATTTTATTCAGAACATTTGTTGTATTTTCTGTTTTAATGAAAGCCTGAAAATCAGTTAGAATACTTCGACAATTAAAAAGTGAGAAAGGCTATTGTGGCAGGCAGTTATTTTAAGTTTCGCTGTCAGAACTCGCTCCAAATAATTTGCTGGTTTACGAAGATATTGTCAAAGATAAGCCAATGAAAGTAAAATGTATCAAAATAATATTGAAATATGTAGAAGTGTTTTTTGTGAAAATAGAGGGATCTTTATTATGCTATTGAGACTTTGAGAAAGATTTCTCTCACAATATCAAATTAAATCTTCGTAGCTTTCGTCTAATTTTTAGTTTTTTCTGGTTCATCTATTTATTATATCAAGATTTATAGAAACTATATTTTGTTCAAGAGTGCTGAGAAGTTTTTGATTCCAAGCTAGTGGCATTTATTTTCATTCTAACTGCCTTATATTCTTCAACATTTTTATCGTTCTGTAATTTCTTACTGACAACTAACAAGTAACTACTTTTAAAATTTTCCCCCATTTGGTTTTCACATGCAATTCTGTGCTAAAATTTATTTTGCTTCCTTTAATCTCACAAGAAAATCTTAAAGAAAAGAAACAATTGAAACTGAGTCTCTCTGATCTAAAAGAAAAAAAATCACCTCACTATAAATTATTAATCATTTAAAAAAAATATATGAAGTTCCTAATGCTAATTGCAAACCTGGTCAAAAGAACCAAGTACAGTATTTATAACAACCTACTACCTATAACTAGTTTTAGTCATTTCCTGAAATTAATTCATTCTTTTATTATGTAAGCTAACTTTAATAGTGTTAGATGTCCTGCTTGGGGACATTTATGTCGAAGAGACACCTGTGAACTTTCTGAATTGATCGGAATGAATTTGACATTTTCTCAGCCTTATACCTTGGAATCCTAGGAATTTTGTAAAATTAAACCTGGCCATTTTCACAGGAAAAACCATACCCTTACAGTAGAGCATGATGTAGTATAGAACAAGTAAATGAAGGTTGCATTGTCCACCCAAAGCATGATTTTTATCTGCTCAAACTGCATTGAAAAGTTTTTCAAGGATAATTGGTACAACCATTGAAATCAACCCTAGAAAAGTTAGTTGGTTTACAAAAAAAAAAATGTAAAAATTTACCTTTTTCATGGTTATCCTTCTTCCACTAGTTTTTTTTTTACTCTTACTAATCATTCAGGTCAAAAAGTTTTAATAGTAAGAGTGATTGAGGTGCTCAGAATTTAAAGGATTAGTTTCGATTTACACCAGAGCTACTGATAGATTATAAACCCATTTCAATTCTCAAATTCGCATCGATGTTGAAGGGCGAATAACCAAATAAGGAAAACTGTGTGCTCTTCACAAAGCAGCTTTCAGCACCTATCCACCCATTTTTAAATACCCGCTTGGAAAATGCTTGCAGAAAAGGAAGCAAAAACATCATGAAAATGCTGCGGCAACGTTTTTGTAACCTTTACAGCCACTCTTTGCTGGGTGGGCATGGAGCAAATTGTTCTCTTTAAGAGGTACTATGCTTTATGTTGGATTGTACAAAATGTGAGCTGTTTAAAAACCAATTAAATGTTTGAATGTAGTGTAGATCTCTTGTTGATGATTCTTCACCATGTTTTTGTAAAATACATAAGCTCTTCAAATTAATTACGGTAGTGAGGTGTAAGAATCTTCCCGTCTTTCATAAACTAGGCCATTAAAGCCTCTTTCCGTGGAGATTTAGTCTTTAAAATTGTGAATGAAACTAATTTGAGTGACCTTATGAAGGCTTAATTCCTATGATCATGGAAATCTTTCAGATTAAACCCATCTTGTTGTATTTGTTGATAAGGACCATGTTACTTTGTACCTTAAATTTCAATTCTAAGTATTTTTCCTCATAATTTTAAGGCTTCATATTATGTGTTTAATTTGTATATATTTAATGACAGTAGACCTTTGTAGTATGTTGTATTTATTTTAGAGTGAATCTGATTCCTATCTTTGGAAGAAGATACACACTTCAAATACTAAGTAATTCAATGGGAAATACACCCAAATTTTCCGATCCAACTTTGTACCAAAATTCTGAGAGAATTATCCAAAAAATATCCAAAAATACCGTGTTTATTTTGAATGCTGTGTAATGAGAGTAATGACAGTTGAGAAAAATCTGAGATTATTCTTCCATTCTCGCATATATTGCCGACATCAATTTGAGGAAAAGAAAAAAACAGTGTATCCAATCCACCGCCATTTTTGGCATTCTGAAGCATGTATTCTTTGTGAAGAAAGCAAGCAAATTTTTTTCAGAATGCAAAAATGTACACTAGATTGAGTTGTACTGATTTTTTTGTTTTTCTCATTTTTTTGAGATCACATATTTTGCGTTTGCAAATTTAAAAATGATCGGCCCAAGCCTTTCTTAACTCATTGATGTTTTTTCAAAGAACCTTCACAAAGGTCATCTATACTGAGACCTATTGATAATGGTTTTATAATATGATTCAAATGGCATCTTATTGTACACCGTAATTTTTAGAAGAAAAAAAATTAGCAGGCTTATAAGAACTGTTCTGGAAATTGATAATTTGTGCTAAAAATGCAAGATGCAAAGAGAAAAAAATTATGAAATAGCAGAAGGTAACTAGATGCTCCGTCCACAATGCTTTTCATCACAGCATTAAATCTCAGTATAAGATCAGAGCTGTAATTTGTTCATGAGGTGCATTTTTTTAAAAGGAAAAAAGAAGTGCTGTCATCAGTCTGCTCCATTAATATGAAATAAGTTTGCAATGGATTGTCTCTGTTCCTGCACAATTTTCATGATCGGGAAATACTCTATCACATCACTGATTCTTTCCTTTGTCTTGCCTGATCCTTGTAATCATTTTTGTACGTAAGCTGAAATTTTCTACTGGAAATGAGGATGTCATAAGTTGTCATTTAAGAAGATTGTTTTCAGCCTTTTGAGTAATTCTTTGACTGCTCCAAAATGGAATTTAAACTTCCTCCTCCTGTAATTCATATCATCCTCCTTTTTGTGCAGGTTCTTTGATAACAGATGAAACCTCAAGTCAAGGTGAAACTTGTAGACATTAGTATTTTTTATTGGTTTGGCAAAGGTGAAGCTTAAAACCCTGAACTTAGTGAATATGAAAATTTATCATTTTGAAAAAGATAAGTGTTTTTCAAACCGGTGCTGTGTATTTTAATTATCACCTTTTTCCCCTCTCTCTCTCTCTTCCTTTTTAGACCTATAACTAACTTATGATTTTCTCTTTTGCTTGATATGACGATTGCTCAGGGGGAGACATAATTTCCTTTTATGACTCAATGTTTTCTTACCCTGCCCAGGTGTGTGATGGACCAATTGCGTCGTAGGGCCATGCTTCTCAAAGTAATCAATCAACTTTCTAATTTAGTGGCTTTCTTTGTTGCTGAAAAAATCGTTTCTATTTCACGAAAAAAATTGTTTCTGTTTCTCTAAAAAATTCCGTGCTCAGCAATATTCAGTTCTTTTGTTAGTGTATTTTCCAAAGGAAATACACCTTTTTTTTACATCCTTAAATTATTTCGAATTTTTCTCTGTTAAGTGTGTATTCTTCAACTGTATAAAGTAAATTTTTATTTGTTGAACAATCTAATTGTTCATTAATGAAATAAATGATGAGTTGATATTTAAAGTATAATTGAAATACTTGTATTAAAAATATTCCCATCTCATAACTGTGTTCTTTTTTCACCCATCGTATATATACCTCAAGGGAGCTGCTCATTAAAGTACAAAAAAAAAAAAAAAAAAAAAAAAAAAAAAAAAAAAAAAAAACAGCATGGATAAAGTGAAGTGATGTTTTTATCCTTCTCAGAATTTCTTGTGGAGGAAACGTAGCTTTGTGTGGAAACCTCATGGAAACTGCGAGCCTGGCTGTTGACCCACTTTTCAATTTTTATCAGTACAATTTTTCAATCAGGTTTGAGTGATAAAAATTTTATCATCATATCATAAATATGATTTAGTTTGGTGAAAGTGTTGTTACTCTGCTAAAAAAGAAAGTATCTCTGACTTTTACTGAAGAAAAAAACATTCACATTGAAAGTTAGGAATGCATGGGGTAGACCCCCTTTTTTTTCATTTGACAATGGTTTTTGTTTTTACCCATACAATTAATAGGCTGAACATGTCACCTGACCTGTAAGTAAGTAGATAAAATCCTATTTAATTTTACTAAAAAAGTATTCTATACTCAGTATTTACTCCAGATAATTCCTGAAAAGTTAACATCTAAATCGATGGTTAAAGTCGAAAAATGCATACCTGCATCGCAGTGTTTCAAAATCTTTGACTGCATCCAATTGTTGCAGAAAAAACCAACCGAAATATCTGCTTGGAATTTTCTGTGAATAATTTTGAATCAGTGAAGAAAATTTGCAGAAAATGTCAAGAAAAACTGTTGCTCAATTTTCTTTTTAAAAAATAAAAATTTATTAAGAGGATGGAAACCTAACCTACTTATCTGGCGATTCTACTCATTCATCTTAGAGATTTTGTCAACCCCATCAAACTTTAAAATTAACATATACCTAGGTAGATTTTTTAATTTTTTTTTTTTTTTTTTAAAAAAAAATCTGAAAGTATTTTCAATTTTATCATTGTGAGTTGCTCTCTTTCCTCAGACATATGGATGGCTAAAGTTTAAAATCACACATCTATATTGCTTTAACATTTCTGCTCCTATATTATTTTTTTGAAGAGAAAGTAGTCTATTCTGTAGCTCGAAATTCATACAGAATATTTTTCTCACAGAGAAGAAAAATTAATGAAGTTTTTATGAAATTAGGTTGACTACTTAATTTTTTGATAAGAAATACACTAGGAAGTTTGCAAAATTGCACACGGAGATACATGATTTCGCACTTTGGCCATCGATATTTGTCTTGCAGTCACAGTTCCATGGTCATGGCCTTGCTCAGAGATAGGGAATTTCATGAAATTGATGCATGCGAAATTTCATGAAATTTTTTGGAACATGTAAGGATGCGCTCAGAAGGTCAAGGAACGCCTAAAATCGGTGATACTCGATTTGAAATATGTCACCCCCCTCTCCCCTCACCGCCCACCCTTCTTACAGCTCAGTTATCAACATACTTATGTATGTACTTACATACCTTTCTTGGATAGCACTCATTAGGCAAGCATTCACTGCCACATCAGGGTTTAATGTTAAAAATTCCAAAAAAATTAAATAACGTTCAAATTTTGTGAAATTTATTTGAGCCTCCTAAAATTTCTCTCTCCATCTCTGGCCTTGCTGCAGACAGTTTCAACCAATCAGGTTATTTGAATTTCCCGCTTGTTCCGTTTCCCCCTCCACTGCCAAATTTGGCGCCATTATTGAAGGGCACTTTTTTTGATAGTGATGAAAAGACATAACGCATCCTGCTTCTGTTAAACTTTTATTTAAAAGTAGAAGACATTTATATTTTAAATATACATTCCCTTCATTATTTTCGTCAGAGCACCACGATGGTGTGAATTTGTTAATTTGAAAACGTCAAGTTTACCGCGCAGCTTTGCTGCCACGCAGTTGCAACATTACGTACAAAAAGAAAAAATACATACCGTAAAATTATTATTTTTATCAGAAACGAGCAACCTTGCAAGGGCACATGGGCGACACTGGCGGCACCTTCCGCATTCATCAAGTTGATTCTTGAAGTTCGCTCATCAAGCAGCATTTTCATTTTTCGAGCTCATGCCCATGTTTTTATGTGATTTGTGCTTGATGGGAAATAATTGTTTCTTGCTCGCAACGTGATCAATACTACTGTGAAGTTTCAAGCCCATTAGTTTTCGCAAAGTTTAAGAGATTATCGCGTCATTCAGTTTGCTGTTACTTAGAGCTTTTGACTGTTGTCATGGCTCACCATTACATCGTGACTGCTCACAAACCGACAGCCGTTTCTGCATGCGTCGCCGGTAAGATATTTCGCCGAATTACGTAAATACGCCCTTTCGATCAAGATAATTACATTGAAATGTAGCCTGTCTTCCTGATGCTACTGGCTCAAAATTCCGTCAACACTTGGTGCCCAAGTCTTATCAGACAGCATGACTTACAGTGGTCCTCAGTTCGCGGTTATCCTGTCTTCTCTTTGCAAATCCGCAATTTTAGCGTTTTCAGGAGTTAGATATTAGGTTGCATCAAGTAACTACACAGAAAATTTTATTGGACGGAGACAATGGCAAAATAGTGGTGAAGTATCGATGCGTGAATGGTCGAGACCTTTCCTAACCTCTCTGCTGTTGGTAAACGGTTTTGTCATGTCTATCAATCAAGTGAAGTATGCTGGCCATAACTCAAACAGACTCTTGCCAGATTCGAGGCTTTCTTATGGGAGACAGGAAGACTGTCTTCCTGTCTCCCAGTATGGCATAGTTTAAGAAAAAAATCAGCCGCTCATGTAAAGTCAGCCTCTAGAACCTATTAGTTCTACAACAGTCATGAGAGCTTGTTGGTACTTGCAGTATCATAATTTTGAAAATTAAGAAAAGCTCCTCAAGTTTTTCGACTCATTTAATTACTTTTGTGAGCTAACAATTCCTAAAATGTTCTGGCGTAAAGCTTTGAACCTGCCAGGAGCTCAGCACACTGTTACTTAAGTTTGCCTTACTCTGCAGCAACTAATTAGAAATAAAACCTGTATCTCGGCGGTGTAAGTCGGCAATCACATTCAACTCGTTTGCGGTGTCTGAAAATCTCTGCCACTATGTTATTGTTTTTGAAGGAGAACAAATTGACATCATTCCTTGAAGTTTTTGCAGAATTTTCTTTGCAAAGAGTAGAAAAATCTCAGCAGTTTAAAAGAATTGCTGTTGAGTAGTTTTCCATGTAAGAAATAAAGTAAACAGAGTTATGTGATTTCCGACTTACATTTTCGATATGGCAATCGTTTGGACCCAACTTAAGGCCTAGTTTTATTCCCAATGATACCTGTCACGATCACATTGATCCGGACAACAGATTCCATTTATGTCGTGTTTTCTTGCTGAAAAACAGTAGAGAGTGTTCAGATTCCTTCTCTTCCTGTATGGAGGGCTTTTTTTATCCATACCACAGAGGATAGCAGCTAAACGCGTCACTTTTTTATCCTTGTCTACCAGTGCATTCCCTGCATTCCAGTGGATTGGTTGGATCCCTCTCTTGTAGTTGGTTGCAAGTAGTAACATGCTATCCTAAACTCAGCCAAAACACAGAGAACCTGATCCAGATCCTAAGCCCTCAGGTAATTAAACATAGGTAGTTTTGCTTATGGAGTCTATTTGCATCGGGTACCTCAAATACAGGATCGCTTTTGCGTCAATGCTCAAGATTAAGAGGAGCTTTATCCCCAGTTATGTTGCACCTTATTTATCCTATACTCCTTTCGAGACAAAGTGTGGTTAATATCTGATACTACTGTTGCTTTTAATTTGCAGGTAATTTCACAGGACCGGATGACTTGAATTTGATATTGGCGAAAAGCAACCGAATTGAAATTTATCTTGTCACTCCTGAAGGCTTGAGAGCAATCAAAGAAATATGTCTCTACGGCAAAATAGCTGTCATGAAATCATTTCGACCTCCAGTAAGTGAATCTCATCTTCCCTCAATTTAAGTACAACTTCAGTTATGAAAAATTTCCATCAATTTATTGTGGCTACAAGATATTCTAGATTTTGCCTTGCCACATTTTTGTTTGATTACTGAGCTAATTGATGGGCTAGTTGAATTTATTTTCTGTTTTTATAATCTGGCCAGCAAATTAATGGACAATGGACTGTTCACAGAATACCAAGAAATTGGGCACTGGCTGAATTTCAATATTATTTGACGGAATGTCTCTTGCAACTCCTGAGCATGATAGGCTTTTAAGATCAAACTCTCTGTGTACCTAGTTATTGCATGCACAAAGAGGTTTTTTAGTAAATCAGACTCGGTATGGTGTTTTAGAAGGTCTCTTATAGGGACCCTTTAGCCGAAAGGTCAAGGTAAGAGGAGGTTTGCAACAAGGGAAATTTAAGAACATACTTGCTTCATGAACTTTTCTCTCATCAAGATGAGAACTCAGTAATTTAGTGCGGAGCAAATCATATTTGTCTGCCTTTTCATTAAAAAGTTGGCTTTTATTAATGTTTTCTTAGAAGTTTTAGCGGCAAAAAAATATTTTATGAACATTTTTCCTCCCACGAACAATATAATTGCCATGAAAAGTTTTGACTCTTGCATTCTTTGTTTTTTCATTTCCAATTATTCAACGACCAAAGAGATTTCAAGAATTAGTCCAGTTGAATTGGGAGAGGATCTTTCAAAATTGGAAGTCATGACTTGTAATTTCACTGGACAAGTGCCTGAAATAAGATAAATGTACAAAAGAAAATGCCTACTTCTGTTTCTTTTTCTTTTTTTCAATTTTTTATGGTTAAGTCAAAAGGTAACACACATTTTCTAGTAAATATTGAACAATTTTTAGCACGAGTCCAAGGATCTCCTCTTCATCGTAACAATTCGGTACAATGCCATGATCCTAGAATGCAAAGGTGAAGGCGAAGCATTGGAAATAATCACCAAAGCACATGGGAATGTATCGGATAGAATTGGCAAAGCATCTGAAAATGGAATAGTAGCTGTGATAGATCCTGAAGCCAGGGTAATTGGATTGAGATTGTATGACGGGCTCTTCAAGATCATTCCCCTGGATAAAGATAATTCTGAGCTCAAAGCCTCAAGTATCAGGTACGTTATTTTTGTTAATGAATTTCAATGTTTATTTTATCTTTAATTCTTTAATAAAAGTTACTGTTCATCTTTTAAGTAAAACATGATCTAATTATTCTTTGGTGTGTTTGTGCCAGAATTATTGAGGTTTTAACAGTGAGGATAGTTCCATATGTGATCTTTGTTTCAAAGCTTTTGAAGACCAAAATAATGGACGACTAGAAAAAGTGCAAATTTAAGCAATATGACTATATTTCCTCATTCAAACCATGTTAAACCCAATTTGTGCAATGCAAATCATTGAAAATATCTCTTAACTGAGATATTAGCGTTTTTCGATGCACACATGTAAACTTCCGTTTCTTATGAAAACCATGATCTACTTGTGTTTAACCACTAACCATCATTGCAACAGTCTCTGCGGTACCAAAATACACCAAAATACCGTACCTACTAAAACTTTCCTCCTGTATTTAATCCAAGTTATCCCCTTCAAAAATACAGTCAGTAATATTACATAACTTGATAGTGTTGCATAACTAAATGAAATTGAATTTTACCATGATCTTTTTTTAAATTTCTAACCAGAATGGAAGAATTGGAGGTTCAGGATGTTGGCTTTTTGCATGGATGTCAAAATCCTACAATAATCCTTGTCCATCAAGATTTAAATGGAAGACACGTAAAAACTCACGAAATCTCTTTGAAAGACAAAGAGTTCATGAAGGTTAGTATTGATAATTAGAGTGTGAATGATCTTATCATAGTTGTTAGTTTTTTTAACGCACCGTTTATTCTGACTTATTATGAAAGCTCAGTCCTTTTCATAAGACAAAAAAGTGTGCGTTTAAAGCTACGCACCTGACTGTAAGGCTACCTCTCATACATTTATTATTGTTGATTTTAGGCTGGTTTCTACCATGTGTTTAGCTTCCCTCTTCATTCGGTAACAGAAGTTAATAAAGTTGAATCAAAGAAATATGGAAATATTTTGACCGCTATACTGCCATGCAAAAGAAAAATGCTGTAAGAGCCTTCAAAAGTTGCCAAATGTTTTGTGATGTGATAAAGATTTTCAGGGAATGATACGAATTTTTTTGCAAATCTTTTAGAGGATTTCATTTGCAGTTTAATCTGAAATGTTTGATAATTTGAAGAAAAAAAATTTGTAACTTTTCTCAATGATTCATTTTTTACTACAGAAAATAAGGCCATATTTGAATACTCATGCAGCTTTTTTTTCGAATTGCTGCTTATTTGCTTGAAATAATAAAAGTGTCAAATTAAAAATTAAATAATTCAAATGCAAATATTCATAAACTTGGCTCTGCATATACTCCAGTTTCTTATCCGCTGTTTTAAAAAAATTAATGATAAATTTCAGTCAATCTGCTTTTTTAATTAAACCAATTTTTTTCTGGTTTGTCCCAGTGTCACCTTGAAGAGAAACATAACAAAACTGTGAAAGAAGTATAATTCAAAGTCGGAGATTTTTTAAAAAAATTGTTGCCTCTCTAAAAGCCCTTTCGTCAAAAGCTGGAAAGTTTGTTTCATTTTTTCTGTTTAATGTCACGAAAAAAACTACTGAACCATTCTTGTTTAGCTGAAAAATATATCTAGTACCTCTTTTCTAGGTTCCTTGGAAACAAGACAACATCGAAACAGAAGCATCAATCGTTATTCCTGTTCCAGAACCTTTATGTGGTGCCATCATAATTGGCCAAGAATCTATACTGTACCATAATGGAACTACTTATGTTGCAGTTGCTCCTCCTGTGATAAAAGTATGAAATTTTGCTGCATTAATTTTTAAATATTAATTTGTGTCTGAGTTACATTTTCTTTCAAATTAATATAAGTTTGCTCCAAGATCCCAACTACTTTAAGAATACACGGAAATACGCTAATTCTTTAAAATCTGCATAACATTCATCCATCACACAATACTTTTTAGCTATAATTTTCTTACCTTGAAATTATTTTGCAAACAAGAGTGAGAGTCTTTGGCTGAAGGTTTTCTCCCTCTTTTGTTTCCAGACTCTCTGAAGTTTTCCTTTGTGCCAACGCAAGAACTCAGTTCTGTCTCTTTAATGCCTAAATGTGGCAATGTATAGCTATGTGTGGCGTAAAAATGAATAACATAATGATTTCACAGTTTATTGGAGTGTGAAAAGCAAGCCTTCGTCTAGTTCTAGAGGCATGCTATCATATTCCAAATGAGCAATCTAGTGTCGAATATTCTTTAAAGAAAAAAACTTTTTGGTTGTCCTTGGTAATTACTTTTACAATTCAAAGTAAAGATACTGTTCAAATTATGAGAGAATGAGTGATGTGTATTGGAAGGAATGACACTTTCATTATATCAGCTGTGCGATTCACCGTTTTGATGATTGAATCTGGATGATCAAGGCAGATCTTTAGCTCTTTAGAGAAAAATTTGATGGTTGGTCGATCAATCGATGATTTCTGCATTTTGAGACTTTTTTTAAAAACGTCTGAAACATTGCATTGTGCTGGAGTCCATCATTATCTTCACACAAGATTTGATGAAAAAACCCTTTGAAATAACTTCACTCGTACGTCTCCAGAGATTATCGCAGATTAAAAGACAAAGTGATTTGCGTTATTCACTCGGAATGTACTCTCGGAGGTTTTTCAAAACGTTTCAAGGTTGAATCTTGTGTAAAAACACCTGATACTCTTCTGCCTTATGCGATGTTTGAGGATCTCTAAAAAAATATCCTAAAACAGAAATTATCATTTGATCAATTGACTTTAGGATCGCTTGTCAGAGAGCTACAGAACCACATCAATCGAAGTAAAATTTTGTCAAAAAATCAAGGTTTTATTTCCAACAATAATTGAGATCTAGTTATTTGGAAGACCAAGATAAAGTTGTTTTGCAGGAAGCTGCACAAATTTGAACAATCTTTGACTGATAAGGTAAAGGTGGAAAAAACTAAGGTGGCATAAAGGACATAACAAGGAGCTTTATTTCACCCTCTGCATCAAAGGAAAATTAAATATGTGTCTAAACCTAACATAAAAGCATGAAGTCATCCTATTCAGTCATGCTGATACTAAAAATTCAGGCCCTAAAAGGACGATTCTATGTCACCAGTAACTGATTCTTGACAAATTCTCCAAGTATGTAACTATCTGTCTGAGAGAGGGCGGAAATGTAGCTGATTTGGAACATCTAATGAAGCTGCACTCTCGTTGACAAGTTAAATTCACTGTTTTGGTCTGCAGAAATTTTTGTATGGCAAAACTTGAAGACTGGCTTGCCTTATGTGTTACATAATATTTTGGTTTCTGCTCATTTCAGCAAAGTACAATTACCTGCTACACGCAAGTTGACAAGCAAGGGTCCAGATATCTTCTAGGAGATATGGCAGGTCATCTTTTCATGCTTTTGTTGGAGAAAGAAGAGAAAATGGATGGCTCCCTCTCTGTGAAAGATCCCAAAGTTGAACTGCTTGGTAAGTTTAGATAGCACCTTGTTCTATACTTTTCCATTAGCGAATCAATCGGTAATTATTTCGATACCTATTGAAATAGCCTTCACCAGGCATGCTTCCAGTGACTATCAATAGTGTTTCAAAAGTTCTTGATTTGGAAATTTGAATTGTAAAGCGCTTTAATTTTACTTTTTATTTATTGTCCTCTAAAATTCCAGTTTCAGAATTAGAGGTGGAAACCTTGAGATGAAATGAAATTTATCTTAGGTATGTGCAATAACTTTTATGGTTGAAAGTCTTCTCATTCCTCTGAAGTGAACATGATCTTGACTTGAAGAATTAAATCATTTTTGAGCACTTAGATAGTTTATCCTAATATTTAGTAAAAGATCCAAAAAGTAGTTTCTTAACTTCCATATTGCTCTCTCCGCCATAGTAGAATATCCATTTCACATAAGTGTCCTGAAGAAAGACAAATATTGAATTTCTTGCTCTCTTTATTTTTTATGCTCTTTTTACTTTGTTTTTAGGTGAAATAAGTATACCAGAATCCATCACTTACTTGGATAACGGAGTCTTCTTCATTGGTTCGCGGTTAGGCGACTCCCAGCTTGTCAAGCTAACGAAGACCCAAGATGAAAATGGCTCTTATGTTCAAGTCATGGAAACATTCACAAATCTTGCTCCTATTGTAGATATGGTTGTCGTTGATCTGGACAAGCAGGGTCAAGGACAGCTAGTCACATGCTCAGGTATAAATTTAGTGATCTTATTTTACCAGAAATTCTACTCTAAGTTGAACTACATATCTTGATCAGTGCAACCTATTATATTGGCCTATATTAGCTAGTATAGCCAAGCCATCTGGTGAATCATTCTTGATTTGTGAATGCTGGTAGTTTTCTGGCCTTAAGTTTATCCAAAACAATTGTGTTTCTTACAGTGACCTGTATCAAGAATACTGGTATGATCAACAGTCTTGCAGGGTTGTTGAGCTATCTTTTTTACTATCCGCAAGCTTCTTATTGTCTTAAGTAGTGACTTGTCATTATTGTTCATTCCCCATGTATAAATGCTCTTTTTTTTTCATCACTTTTCTTCGGAAAACAGAGTGCACAGGCAACTCCCTCAAATGTACCTAACCACATGCCTTACTCCAATGGCTCCTTAACTGCAACTTCAAAGCCTGCTGCAGAGCTGGAACGGTAGTTGTAATGGATTGAACTTGCTCAATTTTTTTGAGAATTATTTCTTGCTTTTTAATATCCTCTTTCCTTTTTAGGAGCTTTCAAAGAAGGATCCTTGCGCATCATTAGAAATGGAATTGGTATTCAAGAACATGCGTCTATTGATCTGTCTGAAATCAAGGGTATTTGGGCAATCAGTATCGATACCTTTAGTAAATTGGACAATGCTCTCATTTTATCATTCGTTGGTCATACAAGGTTTGTCATCATAATTCTATACTATTTTTTTTTTTTTTTTTTTAATTTGTCATAACTGTACTACCAAGACAAATTATGCACTACTGTCAGCACTTTTTTGAGCAAAAAACTAACCTTTTTTTTACTGCTGTGTTTCCTCTGTCAAAATAATTTAGTATTATCGCCAGTGACGTGGCGTGAATTGCGATATATCGATTGTTATGCCATTTAAACCTATGGTAAAGAATCGATTATTAAGGTGTTTGCTGCTAACACCCTATTTATCGATCCTTTTCCATAGGTTTATATGGCATAACAATCGATATATCGCAATTCACGCCACGCCACTGATTATAGCACTGTGTCGGATAATGGGAGTTAGGATAATCAAGTGTTGGATGATCTACGGAATAACAATGATGAAATTACCAAACCCTGTATCTGGTTTAACCTGAATCTGCTCATCAATCCTTCAATAATGTCTAAAAAGCTAAGTTATGTAGAAATTAACTTATTCAAGGTTACTTCCTGGAAATCTATCAATACTTGTACACCTCCAGTTTTCTAAGTTTGTGGTTCATTTCAGAGTGTTAATGTTGAATGGTGAAGAGGTGGAGGAGACAGATCTCCCAGGCTTCCTATCCGATGATCGTACTTTTTACTGTGGTAACGCATGTGATGATCAAATCATTCAAGTGACTCCTCAGTCTACCAGAGTTATCTCCATTGCTTCGAAACAGATGTTAAGGTAATGAGTTATTCAATGATTTATTTTCTCTCTCATTTTTGCATGTTAATTTTGTAGAATCTACCATAATCTCTGCAAGATAAATGCTAAATTCTGGACCATTTTGCTGAATGGTAATGTATCTTTGAAACTTTTAGATTGATGGTGAATCAATGTGTTTCCTTTGCAATTGAATTGGGTTGTGCGAAAAGTCCGATGTTCAATAAAATGTTTCAGAATTTGAATGGATGATTTTGTTGCAACTTACAGACACAAGATGGTTTACGAAGCTAGGAATGTAGAAACATTTTATAAAAAAATCCCCTAAGTGTAATTTAACGTTTATTAAAGAAATTGATCTTATTCATCAATGTTGTGGGGCCAAAGAAACCACTGCAATGGACCACTAGACAAGGTACGAACTTAAGCATTCTGATACATGTTTCTTAACCAGAATTTCATGTAGAATATGATTTGCGCAACAAAAATTCCTGAAACCAACTCCTAATGGAGATATTAACATTTTTATTTCACATTGGTTACGAGGAATTTGAACTGCCCGCTCACAAGAAATTCAAAGCTCCACGTGAGTCAAACCGTGCACTACAACGGTTCCAGCAATCTTCTTAATCGAGCAATGTTCATTTCCCACCATTTGTTGTTCAAACTATAAGCAATTTGCTATAGCTGAGCCAAAGCGTCAAAATTGAGATTGCCAGATTTTAATATAGCAGAGACTATCATGATAACGTTTAGCGCGCGATGTGAATCACGTAGAGCGTTGAGTTTTCGTGAGCGGGTGGTTTGAATTTACGCATCAAGAATCATTAAATATCTTCGCAAGGAGTTAATTTCGGTAATTTTCGTTGTGCGCGCCTTGTTTTACGTGAAATTTTGTTTAAGAAACATGTATCAGAATGCTGAAATTCGTACCCTGTCTAGTGGTCCATTATGAAACCCTGTATTAGACAACGAACGTTTTTGCACAAGCTGATTCAATCAGGAACCTGGATTTCATAATGTGACGAATAATTGGCGTTATTAATTGACTAAAAAAAGATGTAGGGAAATGCACCCAGCAAAAACCATATACCTAAAAATAATGATTTACAGCTTAACTGGTGTGTGTTCAAATCAGCACTGGTACACAAAACTTGGTCTCTTAGTGATACAAACGTCTAAAAAGCAAAAATCTTGCAAATCTGAGGCCTTTTCTCCAAAAGACTTTGTTGAACTGACATGATCAAAAATATGGGTATCTTATTTCCTGTATTTACTTGTCTATATAGTGCTTTACTGTCAATTTTGAATGCCCGAAAAACCTACTATGCACTATACTTGAGTATTGAGAATTGGACATTTTTTTCTCGGTGCGGCAAAGAAGAAGTAACATGGTCAACACCTTTGAGCAGTGCCAAGCCTACATGCCTCATTTCTTCTTCCAATCCCAATTTATCCATCACAATTAATTTGTTTCCTTAACTATCGACTCAAATCTGAGGTTTTCTCCCCTCATCTTTAGACGTATTTTATTCGCTGCAACAATGGATCACTAGACAAGGTACGAGTTTAAGCATTCTGATACATGAATCTTAACCAGAATTTCACGTAGAAAACGATTCGCGCAACGGAAATTACTGAAACCAACTCCTAACAGAGATATTAACATTTTTATTTTACATTGGTTAAGAGGAATTTGAACTGCCCGCTCACAAGAAACTCAAAGCTCTACGTGAGTTAAATCACGCACTACAATGGTTTCAGCAAGCTTCTTAATCGAGCAATGTTCATTTTCCACCATGTGTTTTTTAAACTATGAGTAATTTGCTATAGCTGAGCCAAAGCGTCAAAATTGAGGTTGCCAGATTTTTATATCGCAGAGACTGTCATGATAACGTTTAGCACACGATGAGAATCACGTAGAGCATTGAGTTTTCATGAGCGGGTGATTTGAATTCACGCATCAAGAATCATTCAATATCTTCGTCAGGAGTTAATTGCGATAATTTTTGCTGTGCGCATCGTGTTCTACGTGAAATTTTAGTTACGAAACATGTATCAGAATGCTGAAATTCGTACCTTGTCTAGTAGTCTATTGTCTCCTGTTATCGATTTTGTGTTATTTGCGTCACTTTTTCACAACCAATGAGAGCAAAGCAGCTAAAAAAGAGGTTAGAAATCCTGTTAACAAATGTACACAACTGTTGTAACACGCTTCGAGCACGTTCCAATTGTTTCGAAACAATGTTGCCAAAACGTTGCAAAATTGTGCAAAAAATAAAAAGAATAAAAATAGACCATGCCCCCTAACAGAAAGAACATCCTAACAAAATACAATAGTTACGAAATGTTCCAAATTGTTGCGTCCAATAAAATAGGACTTTTTTCTCACAATTTTTTCTCTTTTGTTTCAATGTTTTTATTTTGCTAATTTTTACTGTTTCAGTGAATGGAAAGTTCCGAATGACAAGAAAGTAAGTGTTGCGGCATGCCATAAGAACCAGGTCCTCTGCGCAACTGGTAACGATCTGTATTATCTGGAATTAATAATGGGAGAACTCGTCCAAAAAGGGTAAATATTTCTCAACGCATCTCTCCCTACTTTTTTTATTGTCATGCAAATCCTGGCGAAACAAACCTTAATTTTTTCCAGGAAAAAATTAACTCAAGAATCTTCTCAGGAAAGGAAAGCATGTAGCACATTATATGCTATATCATAGATGATTACGTTTTCGGAATGTGTTATTTAAGTCAATTTGAATTTTATTACTGTCAGTCAATTTTAATGTATGGCATTAAGAGTTTTCTTAGGAGTTGTCCTATGAGCATCACACCTCATGTATTAAATTAGCCTTATTATTAATGATGTGCCTTTATTTTTAGTCATGTCACCCTAGAACATGAGGTTGCCTGCTTGGATATATCCGTCCTGTCTGATGATGATGAGAAAGCTGAACTTGGAGCTGTAGGTCTCTGGACTGATATTTCTGCCAGAGTTGTCAGACTGCCTTCCTTGGAAACTTTATGCAAGGAAAATTTGGGCGGAGGTCAGTTAAACTTCTCTTTTATTTGTTTAACTTAGTGCATATTTTAGGCTGAAAGACTTTTTTACCTATCTCATGCTTATGAAAGATAGTCTATTTTACTCATAATCAATAAAAAAAATTCCGATCTGAAGTCAATGAATATTCGCATTTATAATACACTGTCCAAACTTTACAGTGCCAGGTTTGGTTTGGCAAAAAAAAAAATAATAATACATTGGGTCATATGGTGACAAAACAAAAAACTGTTTATTGAATCCGTTTTATTCAATTCAGAAAATAGAGGCAAAAGCAGATCCTGCTTTCACTCCTGATCTCAGAGTGTTTTCATTGTATGGAAGCTTTGAAACTGTAGTGAGTGGGTGTTCTTTCAATACTAGCAAACTTTTCAAATTTTTACCTTTTTGAAATTTCTGACATTTTTATTCAATCTCCCTCCTTTTGTCTAGTAATTCTTTTCTTGTATTTTCAGAAATAATGCCTCGATCGATACTCATGGCAACTTTTGATAGTATGTCTTACCTCCTCTGTGCCCTTGGAGATGGATCTATGTTCTATTTTAATCTAAACAAGTCGACTGGTCAACTGTCAGAGAAAAAGAAAGTAAGGATTCATTCCGTTTTTTATTTCAGCTTAAGAATAGCAATGAACAAGTATCGTAAGGTACAAAAAAGAGAAACAAAATATTGTTCTTAATAATAACAGACGACGACCATATATTTTGAAAGTCAGCATTGATGGCAACTATTTTGGTTTAGACCCCTGTTCAGACTGTACCAATTACATACCTCATACCTTAAAAATGGTGCCTGCATCTTGTTGATAAGAAAAAAGTCCATTCCATGAATTTAATTTGAAAAATTTGACTGTGATTATTTGTGATTTGTGTGCGTGTAATGTTGCTGTTTCTCTCTCTCTCTCTCTCAATCTGGTAATGAGAAAAGTGTTCTTCTTATTTAAAGACTTGTCTTTGTTTCAGGTAACTCTAGGAACTCAACCCATTGTGTTAAAGACGTTCAAATCCTTATCATTAAACAATGTATTTGCATGCTCAGATAGACCTACAGTCATCTACTCCTCAAATCACAAGCTCGTCTTTTCAAATGTTAACCTGAAGGAAGTAAATTATATGTGCTCGCTGAACTCAGAGGCATACCCTGACAGGTAAATCAGCAAGAACTTATTTCCAGGGTGTCTACCAGTCTGGAAAAAGTACGCATTTTTTAAGGTCGGTCTGTAAGTACCTTAAAAGTACATAAATCTCGCGGAAGGTCTAAGTACCTTAAAAGTACATAAATCTCGCGGAAGGTCTGTAATTTTTCCCATTTTGTGCTGCGCTTTCAGTTCGATTGCCTGATAGTTGTGCAACCCTTTGCGTTGTCCATCAGGTGTATTAGTACAATGTCAGCCCGTAAGAGCGTGGTTGTTGTAGAGGAGCGGAACAAGGCATTTCCCTCGATTTGACGGAAACAGCCAAAAAGGCCACAGGAATAGCCAAAGTAAAGCGCGCGGCAATGCCAAAATCAAAGAATTGAGTTACGTTGCTAAAAGGTACTTTAAAAGTACTAAATTTTTCTCCAAGTCGAGGTACTTAAATTTTTCCTTAAGTACCTAAAAAGTACTTATTTTATTTTTGTGGACTTCAGTAGACACCCTGATTTCTCACCTCAAATAAAATTGCAACAAAGTAAAGCACTAATCTAGAAAATCTCTCTTTTTTGAGTTAATAGCCAGTTTGATATTGTGTCCATATCATATATCAATCTCTGCACCAATCTGAAATTTCCCTTATATTCAACCAGCTAAATCAGGCATTTGAGAGACCTTGTGTGTTTCCATGAAAGCAATTAAACTAACAGCTTACTACAAAAAAAGAAATTGAAAAGGCTGGAAACAAACTATTTCTACCGCCAAGCTTGAATTTTTACAAAATGCTGATGAGAATTTGATTACTGCGCAGTGTGCAGTGCGGTAATTGTTAGTTTTGTTGTTCAAATTTAGAGAATTTTTGCAAACGAAGTGAACCAAACCTAAAAGTGCAAGGTGATTATCATTAATGAAAATTATAGAAAAATGTATGTTTGAATGAAGTAACACTAAATACTTTGATTTTGTGTTACTTCTGACCATGTATAGCTTTTGGTTCAGGCCACCTGAGCCGAGGCCAGAACAAATGAGTTTTCCATTTAATAAAAGAACTCCAAATTTTTATTTATTTATTTGTATCATTATCCTCAATCGTTATGCATAAAATAAGTACTTTCTTAGGAAATCTTGTAGGATGTGAAATGAAGAATTTTCCTCTCGGTAACAGCAATTCAAATGTTTCTTTTAATTTCATTTACAGTTTAGCTTTGGCAACAGATAGCACTGTCACAATAGGTACCATTGATGAAATTCAAAAACTTCACATTCGCACAGTTCCTCTGGGAGAATCACCCCGCCGAATAGCCCATCAAGAAAGTTCACAGGTATGTCAAATTTCTTTTACTCAACTTGCATTTTAAAATGAGATGAAGCCCTCCCCTAATATGATGTAAGCATTATTAAAACCAAATCTTGAAATTTTATTTATGAAACTTAATAGACCTTGGGAGGGAATTGATATACATAGCCTTTAAGGTCTTAAAATTGATCATTTGTTTTCATTTAGTTCTAAATTTACTCTGCATATTTTTACAAACTGTGAAGGTCCTTTGATTATATCCGCTAATTGAATCAATGCGATTGAAAACACACTGGGAAAAATGAAAATGTTGAAGAAACTTAAAAAACTGTGCAGTAGGTGAAAAAGTTGGTGTAAGAAAAAATTGTTGGTACCAAAGGCCAATTACTTAGGGACTAAAGACCCTAGTTGACTTAAATGTGCCGTCCTCCATGACTTATGAATATTGAGCATTTTTAAGTTGCTTAGTTGGTGTGTTTTCATTCTCACAGATTTAATTAGTTATTAGCAGCTTTTAACGCATCGAAATTGTATAGGAAGAAGAAAATTAATATTACTCTCCTTGTAAATCTATGTTCAATACAGTAGAGCCTCAATTGATCATGCTCCAATCTAACAGACTCATCACTTTGACGAATTGATTCTCTGGTCTGCCCATGAAGCAGATTACCTCTTTTGCATAAAACCCTTGTAAACCAAATTAATTCATACACCACCCGCTGAATTTTCTGATAAAACATTTTTATTGATCTTGCCTTTCTTGCTGACTAATCAAAATTGCTTGAACTTCTTAACAGACTTTTGGTGTGCTAACAATGAGACTAGATTTACAAGAATCCACAGGACTAGTACCGGCAAGACCATCTGCTAGCACTCAAGCACAGAATTTCTCATCCTCACATCCTGGTTCACTTTCCCTAATCAAACCTGGGTCAAACAATACACCAGCTGAAATTGGCGCAGAAATTGAAGTACATAATTTACTTATCATAGATCAACATACGTTTGAAGGTACAGTATTCTTTTTTGTTTTCATTAGACTAACATACTCGCTATTTCTTATCTTTCAATTCAAATACTTCTACTTTCATACTTTTCAGCTGTAAGTTAAAAACTTCACTTTAACAAAACCTAATCTGCCTCCTATATCTGCTAGACGCAGGGTGTAGGTAATTCAAAAGTAATTTTAAAATGTTTTTAGCCGAAATAACTGTGAAAGCACTAGTAGTTACTGGCAGTTGATGCACCTGGATTTTACCTTAAACGGCCGGATAAATCCCTTCACGTATTTGAGAACCATCGAAGAACTGTTGATCTAGCTAAATGATGTTTTTTTCTTTAAATTGTAGACTTTTGCAACACAATCGGTAGCTAAATTGCAGACATCTTTTTTCGGCACCTACAGTTTGTACTTTATTATTTTTGCGTACACAAGTTTGTTCATTCCTTACACATGCATTCATTCATCTCTTTACATTTTTACAGTTTTACACGCTTACTCGCTGATGACCAACGAATACGCCTTAAGTCTTTTATCAACAAAATTAGGAGATGACCCCAACACTTATTACGTAGTAGGAACTGCTCTTGTAAACCCTGAAGAAAGTGAGCCAAAACAAGGTCGTATCCTGATTTTCCATTTCGATGATGGCAAACTTACTCAGGTTACTGAAAAGGAAGTCAAAGGAGCTTGCTACAGTTTGGCGGAGTTCAACGGAAAGCTATTAGTCAGTCTGAACAGCACTGTGAGTATTGGGCTTTTGAGTTGTTTTTCTACCAATGAACCTCTTATGTTTTTTTATTGTATTTGATGCTTCATGGAGATTGAGGCCTATTCCTATTTTAATTATTTTAGGTGGAAAATGATTCACGATTCTGAACAGTTTGGCAAGAGTTGAATGCAGGTTTTTATGCCTTTTCAAACCAAAGGTGAAGTTCTAAAATTGCTGAGTGTCCTTTCGTTTAAGAACCTTTTTCTCTCTTTCTCGTTATTTTTAAAGTTAGAATCTTTTTTTAACTCTGCGAGTGCGTTTTTATCACAAAATTTCTCATCAATTTTATTTCTATGATACAAATTTCTGTCCATGCATACATTTCTGTAATTTCAATGTATATTCTCCTTGTCATAAATCTCAACTTGATTATCTGCATAAACTCAGACTCTCTCTTTTTGTTTCCCTGCAGGTACGGCTTTTTGAATGGACAGCAGAAAAAGAACTTAGACTTGAGTGCAGTCACTTCAACAATATTATTGCTCTTTATTTGAAAACAAAAGGAGATTTCATTCTTGTTGGCGACCTAATGAGGTCAATGACTCTCATTCAGTACAAAACAATGGAAGGAAGCTTCGAGGAGGTTCGTTTCATTTTTTTTTTTTTTTTTTTTTTTGCACACGTATTTTTGAAAGGTTTTGATTAACACATTCACACATTTGAATCTAATTTCCAATATTAAAGAGCCGTATGCAAAAACGACATTTTTCGCCCCCCCACTAAAACTTATTCAAACTTCGTCTATCAGTTACTAATACTGGAGCGCTTCTTTCCCCAAATTTTCAGACCCCCAAAAAATTTTGGGGGGGCGCTAGGGGGGGTGGAAGTCAAAACCTG